AATCTCTATGGACCAAGCCCTATGGACTTGAGGAGTAAACCCGGTAAAGAGTAGGTCCTGCACCCACAGCAATGATCAAAAAGCTCTGCATTACCATAGGATTAGACACGGTATCCAAACAATCAGCTGTCCAGTAATATATGCCCAGCTGAGCTACAGACCAGCTGATGTAGACGGTGGCTTGATCGTTATAATGGGATCACATGAGGAGGGTTGACAGCATCTTATCTAACACCACAAAAACACACAGGTGCTACAGAAGAATAGCCCAACAGGCGCAAGGGACGTAATAAAACACGGAGACACATCTGTACAAACTGTTGCGTGAATTCGTGGATGGTATCTTCGGGAGATTGTTATCGAAATGCGACGAGAACAAAAATTAGAATAATGTGTAAGAAGTTTCAAGATGGAATCTCACCTTTCTTCAGATAGCTTCTGTGTCCATTAGTGTAAGCATATTAAAACTGTCCGCGCCTCCTATAGTTAACCAGTTTCTACTACTATCTACCAAAAAAACACTTGGTTGCGGTATTAGGTTTCCTCGATTAATTAGGCTATATCTTCTAAAGATTTGTATCGAAATCAAACTGCTTCGAAACGGGGTGACTAGGTAAATAATAGAATGAAATCGAAGTTTTGTGATTTTGAATCTCACCCCGTCTTCAGATAGCTTCTGTGTCAGCTCATCAAATTTTCCGCAGCTCCCACGAACTACCAACCAGTTTCTTGTGTCAAGCCTAAGTCTACGCCCGTCTTGCGCCTCCGCCGTGTATGTAGGCCGTGTTTGTATAGTAAACTTCAGACAGTCACCAAATCGATACTAACATGTTTCTGTAGGCGTGTATAATTTACAAACTAGTGGTTTCCAAACACAAGTTTCGGATGGTTTCCTTTAGAAAGACGCCGTTTTATACCGCACTTCTTGTTGTAAATCGTTACAAGGAAACTTTATCTCTGTGTCTGTAATATAAAGGTTTAAGTGTATTTTCGCACGATGAATCATCGAGTCCAGAGGGGAGTAAAGTCTCCCTTGTTAACCACGCCCACCCCCTTTTGTCCGGTAATGGATTGTTTCCCTACGTTGAAATTCGTTTTGAATAAATTTATTGTTGTGAACTCCTTTCCCTTAACAATATCCTCTCGATATAGTTTGAAAATATAAATTCATATCGGGATTTTTCTCTTGAACATCTCGTTAAGATGTTATATATTTTAACAATACATTATAATTTATCAACTGAAAATGTTCAACCATTGCCTAAGCTCTGTGAAGGATCCCCGATAAAAAGTTTAGATTTAAGATTGGGTAGGGGTCTACTAAAATAAGTAGGCTATGTGAATTTAAAAAATATGAGTCTGTTAAAAAAAACTTTTTTAGGAATTTGTTAAGGAATTTTTTAGTAGGCCTATGGGCCAAACTGCCCCTCCAACAAGGTGGAACTTTAAGAAATTGATTTGATTGATCATTTGGTACTAAAAATTAAAATTGTCAATCTATGATGATTATTCTACTATGATTCAATAATGTACAATTTTCAAAATGTTGGGCGAGCAGTATTGAGAATATTGATTCTTCCAACAAAGTTCGTGTATATTGATTTTGCAATTCTACCAGACATTTACTTTAGTTTTGATGGATCACTGTCACGATTGAATTTTGTTTCAGTTTGAGAGCAGGAATCGAATAGTTTGCCAGTTTGCGTGTTTTGATCAGTGGAAAAATAACTTGGTTTACGTACGGTAACTGCGTAGAGATATGGATTTGAAATGCTACCGTATGTTTAATCTATGGTAGAGTGTAGCGTAAAAAGATTTATGTTTAGTTACACGGTACGTTACACAGATGGCGTTGGAGTCAACAGAATCAGAACTGACAAATAACACAAACTGACACAACATTAATAAACATGACTACAACACTTGAGTAATGTTTGTATTGAAATTAGCTGCCACATTTACAGTCGACTGACGGCAAAGTAATACTTTACCTAAATAAATAAGTAATACTTTGAGTATTACTTTAGTTAAGTAATACATTATACACATTATTTATAATGTAGAAAACTAATGTAGGCCTACCTCTGTCAAAAAAATCTTAAATAGGTACGCAGAAATTCCCAAAACACACCCAAATTGGAGGATAGATTTATATTATGCTAACTAGAAAGCGTTGCCACTAAATTTATGAAATAGTCTAGCTGGATACAATTTTTTAACACGTTCAAATTCAACCGACTAAACGGTGTCTAATGAAATATTTCATAAACATTGAAGTTAAACAATTTAGAACCAGTTCAGAGAGAAAGGTGTACATCAAACCTCAATTTATGTTTCAACCACATCCATATGCGTTCCATTTTCACGTTTTTAGAGTCTGCCTGAAGTCCATTCCAAAATGCTGCAATTGAAAAAGTCTTCAAATGAAAAGTTTGGCTGATGATTCTTTCATTCATAATTTTGTTATCAAAGAGAAATCTATGTAATCGTTCGTCTAGGTTGTTGTCAAATTTTAAAACGTGTGGTTTATATTTCAAATGTCGACATACAGTTGGTGGCCTATATAGGCATATTATTGAGTCACGTTTGGCAGCCTATATTTCATAATGTTGACACAGTTGCACAGATAGTACAACAGTGAAGTGGCATTTATTTGCTCATCTAAATTACACTTCACTGTAGAAGTGGATCTGGATCACTATTGATGGTTCAGTAGAAGTGTACCGTCATTATCATTTATGCTACATTAGCTATCTATTGTACCACCAAAAACTGACTTGACGACAAAATGTATTAATTTATATAAAAAAAGGTTCAGCTCAAGAATTTTTTTAAGATTACCAGTATAGTCACAAACAATCCACAGTAGACCTATAACACTTCGAGAAATCTAAAGTCAGCCATACAAAATACCCGCAAACCCTCTGAGATATTTTCAGAATGTACATTTACTGTTCAAACAAGGAAACGCATTTAGTTGAGTTGCCTCAGCTGTGGGATGACAGAACTTAAAAATAGCCGCATCGCCGTGCCAGCTGTTGCTAATCCTACTCCCTTGTCTAGTCTAGACTTCCTTAGTCCTGTTGCAACCCCCATCTATTGATCAAGGGGATGATGAATAACCTGAAGATAGCCTTGAGGTCTCCCCTCACCCTACACTCAAGCGCGAAAATGTTTGTTTTGCAGTCCTGCCGACCCTAAACATCCTACATTCGCCTAGTTTATGGTAGAAGTTCATTTGGCACTTTGTCCTGCTCGATAATTATAGAGTACTGTAATGGACAACTTATCTGACCCTTTGAAAATTTCAGTGCAACTTTGTGTTGGGTAGGAAAGTGCTTGGTCGCCCGAGTTGGCAATACCTTTCTACATGTCAACGACTCTACTCTATGTCTGAAAATGTTTTCCAGCATGTATACAATTTTTTTACTACCGTGTATTTTTTACCGTGAGGTTTTTGTGGTGTACCACCAAAATGCATATGTTTAAATAATTAATTTTGACGAAAACTCCCCCAAGTATGCAGGTTTTCAAAACACCTAGGTACGACGTGGAAATGTTGAATGCATTACAATAACGCACCCGGTACCACAGAAAACACCAGTAGTAAAGTATGTTTTCCCGTGCCGGTGCCCAGATAAGTAAACATAATCAAACCTGATGAGAACTGCACTTACAAGAACAAATTTAAATCGAGGTAAATTAAAATGAAGTAAGTTACTGTGTACAGTTTTAGGTTTAGCTACCGACACCTAAGCTTACTTAAAAGTTAAGATACACTTAAGCATAGATCCATCAAGTAAAACGGAATCTCTTAACGGGGAAACATCGTGTTAATTAACTAAAGTGAACAATACGGTAAAAACAAGTTAAGGGGAGTCGCTACTGAAAAACTACCAATTTTGTAAAAAACTTGATTTTTTTTATTATTTTTTTATCTTGTTCTATGGATTGTAAGGTTTCAGAAAAACATAACATTTGGTATAATATATATTTTTTTTCACTGTGAAAAAAATATTTGAAGTGAAGCGCGCACACCTCTTTTGGGGCATCAACTAGGCCTAGTATAAACCAACGTATAAACTTCAGCCGCTGTTTTCCGCGACTTTAAAATTTTGTTTTTTTTTATATATAAGTTCTTATAACTTTTTAACTATTGCAGCTATATGAATGAAATTTTTACCACACATTGTTTATACTATAAATCAACTTTCTGTGCATGGATATTGTAATTGGGTAAATAAAAGTACATGAAAAAAAATTTATAAAAATGTATAACCTATAAATTTTTCAAAAACTTATTTTTGAAGCCATAACTTATAAACTAATTGAGAACATAACATGAGTATGCACAGAAAGTATGTGCTTTCCTTGCTCTTTAAAATAAGATATCGAACAATAAAATTGGTTCAGTAGTTAAATAGTTATAAGAGATTTAAAAAACCCCATTTTTTCCCGCCAAAAAACTTAAAAAACTCCAAAAAGTATGTAAATTTTTTTTTTTTTTACTTTAACGGCAGTAAATCTTTTTCTAAGACTAAATGAACTTAAAAAAGTATATATGATAATTTTTAAAAGGATTTTATTAAAAATCACTAGTTTCAGTAGCGACTCCCCTTAAAGGTACAGTAAGTTATCCACTAACAACCATTTTAAAGATAAAGAAAATGCAATACACTACCACAGAAAACATACTACTATAGTATGTTTTCTGTGACACTACTTAGCAAAACATGCCATACTTCAGAAATTGCGTTCAGGGTGAGATGGGTTTCATATTTTTTAACACTACTGTAAACCATCTTCTTTAATACTTACATTTTTTTAGGCTACTAAACATACATCCACATTAATAGTTTATTTTAGGTACGGTACCGGTACACATAAAAAGTACAATTTATACGAATTTATTCCTTTAACGTTGTTTTTCATAGGCCTATCAGGATATCTACCTACTCTTATTAAACTAATTGTAGCTACAGAAACAAAACTGAACTTACTGTTAAAAAATAGAAGTTTCCTCGTTGATCCAAGTCGTTTTATCGGAGATTTTGTTGATAAACTGACGTTGTCGTCTTCATCCATGCTGACTAGGTAAACAAAAACACCAAACACAAACACAATAGAGAAAAGCACAGTAGTGAAACTAAACGGTAAACATCAGCACTGTAACTATAATAATTCACATGACCAACATAGCACAACAAAAATCATACACTCGACAATGAATATTATATTAAGAAAAAACAGAGACGAAAAACGAAGACAACAAACTCGCACGATCAACAACGGTTACTGGTGGTGAAGCGAAGCACAACACAACCACAACGTTTGAAACGAAACGTCTGTTTCTTTCATCAACACCAACTGGCAAGCGTTGAGAATGGAGCGGCAAAGGCGGCCAAACCTAACACAAAGTTAGAGAACGGGACACTCGGCGCTTTCTATCGGCGTTTGATGGAACTATTTCCATGTTACAACACAACAGTACCACCACGTCTGCGTCTAGCTGCCAACTGTTTTCCCGGATCATTATAATACTTTAATTAATTCTTAACCCTTCCAGGGCTAAATGAAATGAAGGGCTGGAGCTTAATTATTTTTTGCCAAAAATTAAAAACTAAAGTGGTAGTGTTTTGTATTTATTTCATTTGAAATAATTCATGGATCATAAAAAGATTTTCCTTAGGGCTGAACTAATTTTTGTACCAAAGTTATGAAGAAAATAAAATTTGATTTGTCGGATATATCTGTCTTTATTTGGCCCACAAAAAACATAAGGTGGACGGATATATGTCTGCCGCCCTCAGTGATAATCACAAACTATGAACACTGCCAATAATCTTGAGTATTCTTTTGGGCGGCAGACGGATATATCCGTCAACAGGCTATTCCTTCCTTTGTTTTATTTTTTATCCATACAAATGTATCTATCATTCTGAAGTAAATCTAAACCACTCAGTTCCGCTCCCATGTCCTCAATCCCATTCCCCGCCAAGACTTCCACTACGTAGAGACCAGTGTTGGGGAAGCTACTTTTAAAATGTAGCTAGCTACAACTACTGCTACATTTCCAAAAAAGTAGCTTAGCTACAGCTACAGCTACAGTTCCGAAAAAGTAGCTAGCTACAACGCTACAACTACAGCTAAAATGAAATGTAGCTACAGCTACAATTTTTGCTACTTTTCCAAAAACGTTACTTTTTATTCCACGCACATTAGGTAAATGTAAAATTAATTGCAACTACATTTTTATTGAACAAGCATTTAAACAAGAAATGTCAGTATTGTATCTAACGTTACTTTGAAAACAAATTATTCCTGGATTTTATTTAATTTGTTGGCATTATAAACCTAACATTACAACAACAGCATCATATAGTTGGGTGTCCCATCATATTTGGCACTTATTTTTAAATATTGCATTATTTTTAAGCATCTTAGCCTATATGTATTAATGTATGAATTTCATTAAGTTCAAAGGACATTCAACCAAACTATATTTTAAAAGCTCATTTTATTTCTTTAATATAGATTCATTTATAGATGTCTTATATCAATAATTAAGACCACTTAAACTGTAAAACGATTATTTAAAAATACTTTTTTGTGTTACAGAGCCTAGCCTATTGAAATTGGAGTTTATTGCCTTTCTTTACTTTTAATGTTAACAACGACATTGCTATATCTTTTAACCATGATAAGTTACTTGTTCTATGAATAGCACTTTTCAATGTCAAGAAATCGTCCTTTATTGTCATTATGCATAGGGAAAATTGTGCTTCAACCTAGTTGGTACAGAAAACAGTATTCAGCAACTTATCCTGAAATCGGCTTTTAATTTAAACACATTGAAATTTGTAATGTAAAAATTACATGTAGGCCTACTTGGCTATGTAACACGTTGGCTATAGTAGCTTTGTTCTTGCAAGGACTAAACAGATATATTCCTAACTAGCTGTGTACCCGTTCTACGCACGGGGATCTTATAATATTCAGTTGAAACCTTCTTATATAACGAACAGCAGTTGGTTTGCATATTTTAAGATATGCTGGCCAAACTATTATACATAGCTTCATTTTATGTTGTTTTTTGTTGTTCCGGATCGGTATGACAATCAATAAAAGGTTAAATTACCTCTGTGTCTGCCGGTCGATCCTATAACGGTAGGCTTACTTTTATTTTTACTATCTGATCTCGTTTGCATGGCTCAATCACGTCCTGGTTGAAGTTCGTTCGCTACGCTCACTCACCTGTATGTTGGAGCTCGTTCGCTGCGCTCACTTTCCTTCAGGTTAGCTCGTTCGCTACGCTCACTTGCCTTCAGGTTAGCTCGTTCGCTACGCTCACTCGCCTCCAGGTTGCAAATTAGCTGTTGTCATAAATGTAAAAGAAATAATAGTGCTAGTGCTGCACCCTGTTGGTAATCCTTGTAACTTTAATGCTATTGAACATCACAGAACAGAACCAACTTGTTTAATTGAAACAGCTGTTAAGATTCAATAATTTCATTTCTCATAAGGTTAACATGGGCTTCCAGAAATTCCACGTCAAAAATCGACAAAAACTTGATTTTCAAGGGTTTACTGTTAAATATCTAACTGTCTCATATTCGATGAAATACGTCTAAAACCATCTCATATATGTATAGTATTTGGAAAATAAGTTTCAGGCGGGACAGTGCTATAGTTATTGAGGAGTAGTTGTAATAAAGTGCGTATTTTAGCGTTACCAAGAGAATGACAGATAGACAGACAGACAGACAGACAGACAGACAGACAGAAATTGAGATAAGGTTTGATTCGGTTTCTCTGACCTATGAAATGTAAAAATAACCAAAAAGTTCATTATTCTAAGCAATGTACAGACAAAACTCTAATTTTATTTATATAGATAATTGAACTTGGTATTCGTCTTAAACCTTAAACCATAGCCTAGGAATAGTCCAATACAAGAGCTGTTAGCAAGAGCAAACTGTGCAATTTTTTAAATGTAAGTTTCATGTTATATGGAGATTCTTTCGTTACAATTATCATGTAGTCTAGGCATATCTTAAATCTCATCAGGTAATTTACTCATTGTTAATTTAGCAAACCTTTGAAAAATCTTTGTAATCTAACCAAGGAAGGGCTTGTGATGATGAACCACAATCAACAGCTGAAGCAAAGGTTGATGACCAGCTTTCTCATTATTTTAAGGTTTAGTGTTGGTTTCCATTAAACCCTAGTTAAAACACTATCAATATAACAAAGAAACTAAATTGATTACTAATTTCCCTGTCAATCACTTGCAAGCATTCAATAGCTTGTCTTGTCACTGGTACCGGTAACGTTTAAACGTCGTCTGCATCTAGCGATTTTATTTTATCTGACAGTAATCATAGAGTAGTAATTTAAGGAAATAAGAGCTAAAAATTTGGATAACACTCATTTAAATGGCCTCCATGTCCACACAACGTTGTAATAGGGAATGAAACGGCTGCAACCAGCTGTATGAAGCCAAGAAAGTAGGCCTAATTTTTTTGAAAATCTCAGTTCTCAGTTTGAAAGAGGTTGTTTCACGTAAGGTTGAGGTTATGATAAAACTCACTATCTCAAACAATGTTAATGTAGCGAGAAAAGTAGCTAAAATTCCGCTACAACTACTTTAAAAATGTAGCTAGCTACAGCTAAAGCTACAAAATCTTAAAAGTAGCGTAGCTACAGCTAACGCTACAAAAAAAGTAGCGCGCTACTGTATCGTCGCTACTTGTAGCGCGCTACTTCCCAACACTGGTAGAGACTGTTCTTCAGGTTCATCATATCCATCACATTCCATACCTACTATTATTTTCACTGCCAAGTATAAAACCCCCCTCAGACATACTTTTGTTAAGCATCTCAATAACATCTTCAAATTTCAGATAGTTTGCATTAGTAACTTTAGCTCAATAAACATAAAAACAAAGTACAAAACACAAAATGTAAACACCGCTAACAACCATGTTTGAAGTGACAGCAATATTTACTAAGTAAATATTGCTGTCACTCCAAACATGGTGGTAAAATTATATATAATTTACTAAGTAAATATTGCTGTCACTTCAAACATGGTTGTTAGTGAGCGGTGTTTTCGTTTTGTGTTTTGTACTTTATTTTTATGTTATTGAGCTAAAGTTACTAATGCAAACGATCTGAAATTTGAAGATGTTATTGAGATGCTTTCGCGCACACTCTATATGGTGCAAAATAGCCAAAACAGCTGCGGCAATTATTATTGCCAACCACAAAAACAAAATAACCCATTTATAATACAGTGCAATGTTTATTTATTACCCTATTATAAACATTTATTGTATTTCAATTCGTTTTTTGGACGGATATATCCGTCTTTAGCCCAGAAAAGAAATTTCTCGGGACGGATCCGTTTTCAGCCCGCAAAGTAAACAAAGATTGGCGGATATACCCGTCCGTTAGAATTATAGCTCAGTGGTCCATAGCCAAGTAGCCCTGGAAGGGTTAATATTCAAAGCCCAATGATTAGAAACAGCTGGGTACAGGTCCGAACCTTCAAAAAGCTACTATGGATTGTGGATATTTACTGTATAGGCATGCACTGTGGATTCGATACTCCCTGGTGTGGATTAACGTCCACACTATATACTTACTAACCCACTTATATTTTATGTCAATAGATCCAAAAGAATATAACAACATACCTTTGTGCAGCAATATAACATCAATTAATTACTTGATATTGATGCTTTATGAAAAATATATTTTACCATAACTCTTCAATTTTCAACCCTCTGTACATGTAGCTTATTATATATAAACTACAAAAGAACACTGTGAGAAATATTCTACAAAACTAATAAATTTCAATCAATCTATTCACAAATGAGAAGTTTTCAAACAATTTTGGATGTTTCAAAGTAACATGCAAAGGTACTTTTGACAGCCCAATAGATAAATCCCAATTGTGCAGATTTACTCATAACTGTTTGTTGATAACATTTTGACTGATCCAGCTCACTTCGACTATCGCTCAATTGCCAGTTTCTTGACTCCAGAGACTGGACGATCCCTTTGTTGTATAACCAAACTAACCCTCTTACCAAATAATGCATACTAGTTGCTCTGCCCGTGCTTTGCTACGGGGTGAGGGTGAGAATGCAGAAAAGAATAATTCGGGTTTACTTTCAGATACTATAAGAAACCGTTACAACACACTTCCCAGAAAACATAGGCAAAGTCTCAATTGTGCTTATTGATTATTTAAATGAAAATCTCTTAATGTATTAGAGTATACTATAATTTTATATAGTGTATAGCATTTAAAATAAGTTTATGCAAAAGTATAATTCATTGACCACATGGCACCAAGAAACAATTCTCCTTGTAAACAATTTAAATTATATATTAGAACAGCATTTCTGACAACAGCTGGAGTTTCATAACAATGTTTGTTTCCCATGTTAATCTTATGGAGAAATACGAAACTTTAAAGGGCCCCAGGGCCTCACTCTTTAATTATTTCCATAAAAAGAAAATTTCCTGCACAACTTCACGTTACGCTCTTTCCAATGACACCGAAAACACGTCAATCGGTTCAGTAGTTTCGGAGGAGTAATTGTCACGAAAAACATGCTTGCGTATTAAATAAGTACAAGCTGCTATACCCGTGCTTTGCAACGGGAAGAAAATGTGACCTAGAGAGCTATTAAAGTAATTCTGATGTGTGTTTTAAAATACAACTCTATGATTTAGTTTGAAAATATAAACTGATTTAAAAGTGTAAACCTACTTACTTTCAAACTCCTACTTTTTATGTTAATAGATCCAAAAGTATATGACAACATACCTTAGTGTAGCAACAGCATCAATTGTTTCATATTGATGCTTCACGAATGACATGTTTTACCATAATTCTTCAACTTTAGTCAAGCCTCTTTACATGTAGCTTACTGTATAAATTACAAAATGAATCTTTGAGCAATATTTTACAAAACGTATACAACCTTTCTTTAAAACCAAACATAACCCTCCTAAATCTTCATAAAGCATCACAAACATCTTTTTTCGAGTAAATAAACAAACACCAGTTCATTGTACTGACCAGCTGTTTCAAATTAAATTAAATCATGTAAACTTTGGAAGCATGCCAGGTGTAGCCCTTTGGAAATCAGCCTATGGGGCAGAGCCCTTAGGAAATTAGTCCATATCAATACTTTTCGGCAAATCTACACACTCTAAGCTTCATTTTGATGTGCCATATGCCTATATTTTTATTTGGTAAATGACCTTAACCATTTACATAAAATTTGATTGTATCACTTTAATAATATAATAGATAGTTCCATAAAAAGAAAGTTTCCTGCACAACTTCACGTTACGCTCTTTCCAATGACACCGAAAACACGTCAATCGGTTCAGTAGTTTCGGAGGAGTAATTGTCACAAAAAACATGCTTGCGTATTAAATAAGTATAGATTATATTTCCTTGATTTAAATAAAGCATCACAAACATCTTTTTCGAGTATACTTTTTTTGTAAATAAACAAACACCATGCATTGACCACCGGTTTCATTAAATAAATTTAATTAAATCATTTAAACTTTGGAAGAATGTCAGATGTAGCCCTTTGGAAATCTACCTGTGGAGCAGAGCACCCAAGAAATTTTCCCATAAATTACTTGTGGCACTCCTAAGCTTCATTTTGATGTGCCATATGCCTATATTTTTATTTGGTTAATAGCCTTAACTGTTAACATAAAATTGTATTGTATCACTTTAATAAATAGATTTTCAGGGTCCAATAGGAGCCCCCTCCCCTATATCCCCCTCCCTTGGCACCGCCACAATATGAAGTATGAATGTGGTAGTTGTAGATAGTTTAAAACATTGATATTTTGCATTGAAGTTCAACCTTTGCTTGAACGTAAAAATCAAATACATAATGATCAAAAGAATTGTTTATCTTAAAATTATTACTAGAGTGTTGTCTTAAAAAAATTATGAGAATGATAGTTTAGAACATTGTTATATTTGCATTGAAGTCTAACCTTTGATTGTACGTAAAAATTAAATATACAGAATTTATCAAAAGAATTGTTTTATTTTAAAATTTTTATTAGTGTTGTCTTGTTGGATTGTTATGAAGAATACTATGTTTCAGAAGAAAAAATCCAAACTTAAATTTGCGTTTTGTGTTCAAACTATAGACAACTTTGCAGTACTGATGTACAAGTACAATGTGTTTGAAAGGTGAAAACATTTTGACAACCACACATTCAATATAAATAGTAATATGTTGACAAAAAGAATTTTTTAGAATGTAAACATTTGAAATGCCTCCAGTTTCCTCTTTATGACTGTATGAAGCCATTTTTCTAAAAATGGAGTTTTCAGAGCGCATCTGTTCGAGCGATCAGTCTCTAGTCGATAACACACCTGAAACAATTTATTTGTTGTGATTTGTTTTAAAAGTGATTAGTAGGCTATATATATGTCTCCTGTGTTTTTAACTGATGCCGAAAAAAATCGTACAATCAATCAGTTGCAACTAACTGTTTTTAATAAACATTTTTTTTTTCATGGTTTTCGTTATAGCTTTGACTAAGTCAATGGTTATAGCCTGTGGGTTAATTATCAGTATCGCTACATTTTTAAAGTGGTTAATACTTTTATGTTAATTCCATAAATTGCATTAAACAACCAGTTTTGCTGTGAATTATTGGAGCCATGTATCTTCAGGTTGTACATTGATCCTTTCCTTAGTCTTCCAATAACAATATATTTAGTATCCAGTACATTTTTGTTCCAAACGACAAAGAAATGGAAAATTCAAACTTACCAGCTGGATTTGGCAAAACACACTCTGGCAGTGGTTGTAGTATGTGGATGGTAGATGCAATATTGGTATGTAAAATAGTTTTGGATTATGTTCCAGGACTGAAATTTTATGCTTTAACAATAATGGAATTAACGTCAAAACTTGTATTGGGCCTGATAAAATGTATCTCTGAATTTAGTACTAGTAGTAAAATGAAGTAGTCATAACCTAATAATACCTGAATGTATACTGGAGGAGGTGTCATAGGTATCACTTCTATGTGGAAGTATATATCAGCTGTTACTTGAGCTACGGGAAAAGCAAGACTTGGTACACTCCATCTTACCTTTAACATGAGCAAAGAGAACATGGAGCAATAGGTTTCTGTAAATTAGGATTTCCCAAGTCGTAGTGGCGGTCCCAGAGGGGATGCCCCTCCAAATATCAGGGCGGACCCTTGACTAATATAATATAGGATGTATTTAGGTTTGGCCATATAATAGATAAAACATATTACAGTACTCCCTTTAGATTTCTCATCCTTATAGAACAGCTGAAGCCAATTTTGTTGTACGTTGTAATGGTCGTGTTTTGTTTACAATTTATTTCTTGTTATTAAGTCATTTCAAACCTCATTTAACCAAATAATGCGATACTATAATTTTAATACTTGAATCTGAAATGGCGACCATACGAATGTAGGTAGGTTTTTTAAGCCAAGTATGAATGGAGATGTGTGTAGGATGATCTAATTATACTCGTCCCCTAGTTATATAACAAAACACTAAAGCACAAATAGGCCTAAATCATTGAATGAACTTTCAAGTAATAGAAACAAAATTTCATCGACACTGATCGTACATGAACTAGACACAAAAAACAAGCTTCAGAATTTACAATGGGATGAGAAGTCTTACTTGTATTGGTTAGTCTATGGTTTGGTTTTTACAATGTGAAAAAAAATACAATAGGCCTACATTGTTTGTTACAAATGTTGTTACATGCAATAAATTGAATAAAAAGTGATAAAACTGGTTAAAACTGTAAAGGCTGACCCTTATCACTGTCACTGACTAAATTAAAAAACTTATCACTTTTTATTCAATTTTAATAATTTGATCAACACGACTAGTTTTTACTATTATGATTCTGCAGTGTTTTAAAGAATCTTGAATCTTTTGACATACCACAATGTATTAATACATTGATGATGTGGTTGCATACAATGACCTGACGAAGTTCTAAGGAAGGAACTAGTTGTCATACCCAGCAACTGTGGTTGGATAAGGTAATTCTTCTATTTTATCAATAATATATTCTAATCAAGGGTCACAATGAATAACAGGCAATTTGCTACTTTTAACTTTTCCTTACTAGTGTCTGTGGGTTGTTGACATTTGTGTTAAGATTAAGGGGGAAATGGTAAAATTTGGCATTGAAGAAATCAAAGACTAACCTCTAATCCTTAATATTCTTCATCTAAAAAATAAAAATTACCTGCATACCGTATAAAAATATGAGTGGCTGTCACTAACCAATCTTCCATTATAAATTATCTTGAAGTACCAGTGTGGATTAAATGACCAGCGACTAATGCATCTGGCGACTATTTCCAAACCATCTTTTACTTTGAAATTGTCAACATTTGAGTAACGTCTGAACCTTTCAACCCCCATAAGCAAGATCTGATCCACCCTTCTTTTAGCTTCACTCAAAACATTGTCCATAAAAAAAGTTGCAACTTCTAAAACAGCCTGCTGAGAATCTTTTGCTTCTTTGGTTTTTGGATACAATTGGGTTTTTATATAACTTTCACTTTCTAGTACCTTTCCACTCAGATTTAAAGAATTTACTTTTACTTGAGCTTCTTGGATCAAGTTGTTGACAAATTCAGTCGCAAATTCAACGAAGGATTCAGTAGCGTTAGCATTAGATTGAGAATGCTGGGCTTTAGTTGATACATTTATTTTATTTCTCTCGTCCAAATACAGAGAAGCATGTCTGATTATTGAACTCACAATGGTTTCTGCTGTTTTATGCACATTTATTGTGCTTGAAGTTGTTGATTGTTCTGATAGGCTTGATGGTTGCAATAACATTGATAATTTGTGATACTTTATAGCACCCCACAAAAAAAGTTTGCAATTGTTTTGACACTAGCTAAAACAGCTTAAAGGGAGTATTCTTTTTTAATGGAAGACTAAATGGCAAGAATAAATTTATTTTGAATAAACAAGTTATGTAAACAAACGGTTAGACCTTGTGCTACTTTGGTTGTTGATATTGTCCATAGTTACCAATGGTTTCAATTACCATGTGGAAAATGAAAACTCAGCTGGCATGTCAAAGGCATCTACTCACTCCATTCTACCATAGATAAATCATACTACTCACATTCCTCCCAATTTTAAATTTTCACTGTGACTTAGTAATATAATTAATCATATGTGTCAAAATCAACAAACTTTTGGATTTAAAATCACCTTAAAAACATTTGGGCTGGTAAAAAGTAATTCTTTGTCAAAATATTTATTTACATTCTTAAGATGATAGAATACAATAAAAATATTAAAAATATATAAATGTACAAATACCAAGTAGCATATGCAATCATGTTTCTGAAAAAGATTAAGCTGATTTTTTTTAAAGGGTGTGCTTGTTTTACCCCTTTAGCAACAATACTATCTTGGTAACAAATAAATAAAAATTTTAAGGGTTTTAAAAATGAGCCAAATAGCCAAAGTTATGGCGGAGGACAGCCGTAAATGTTTATATTTCTATCTTCTGACACAGATACAATTCTGTTAGAGTCTGGATTGAACCTGACGCCCCACACCTGCGAAACAACAAAACATTGTGTCAAAACTGTAATCCAATTTATTAGTAAATAATTACTGTCAATACCAGGAGTTAATATTTGGCAATAAACATTTTTTATATTTAATATTTAACATTACGTGTTGGCGAGGCCAAGTACCAGCTTGGGTACAAGTGGCCATGGCAGTAAGTAGGTCTAAGTAATATTTTGCATTGGAACTAAACAATTTCACTATATAATTTATTTTTGAAAATAATAGGCCTTTACGAGTTATAAAAATATGGTTTTCCATTAACGCTAACATTTTACAAGTCAAAGAACCTTAACTCTATTTTATTTCTATGGTTCTTATAAAAATTATTGTTCTACAAAAAGTCTTATTCAAATGACATACTGAATAAAATCAGTAACCTTTCAGTAACATCCTTAACCCTCTAGTGAAATCAGACATTCCAGTGGCTTTCTTAACCTCCCCAGTAAAATAGAGACAGTTCAGTGGCTTTTTTATCCATCTGGTATAATTAAAGACTTTTTTTCTAGCAGGTAATTTGTATATGTATAGAAAGAGGCTATGGGTTTACAACTGTTGACAGACAAAATACACTCCTAGTAGTCTATCTTATATACTGACCTGATCAGTGTGGTCACTAAAGGTGTGGACACATCGGCGAGACGCCAACTCCCAAACCTTGACAGAGTGGTCAGCACTGCCCGAGACAAACGACTTGTTATCTGGTGAGAATGCGACACTGAGCACCCATGAGGCGTGGCCAGACAACGTACCTGCCACATCAGCGTGTTGTCTAGACAAACAAAGCATGATCAGCACTGATTGAGACAAACAACTTGAACTTGTTGTCTGGTGAGAATGCGACATTGAGCACCCAGAGGCGTGGCCAGACAACGTACCTGCCACATCAGCGTGTTGTCTAGACAAACAAACCATTATCAGCACTGCCCGAGACAAACAACTTGTTGTCTAGAATACTCTCACTGAATACCAGAAGGTCATACAGATAATTAAATACAAATTTGAATTTCACATAATGAAAATGGAATCTAGAAGCCTAGTGAGAGGGCTCCCACAGCTAAACACATCGGTACCCGAGTGAACTTATACAAGTTCCAGGGCACACAGGAAGCAATGAGAGGTCGAGACTCCGCCTTCAAAGGTATCTGATGATAAGCCTGGTTAAGATCAAAGACAGAAAAATACTTCGCCTTACCGAACCAGTCAAAAGCCGAGTGCAAATCAGGGAGAGGGACAGAGTCAATTTCAATCTGAGCGTTCAGTTTCCTATAGTCTAAAACCATCCTAGACCATTTAGTTTCGGTACTAGAAATGCTGGACTGGCAAAACTTGAGCGCGAAGGCTCAATCACCCCATTATCGAGCAGTTCGTTGATGATTCCTCTCAAGGTTTCCATCTTGGGAGGAGCTAACTTGTACGGATGAGAGCGTACAGGACGGGTGTCAATTAGTCGGATCAGGCTTTACCAAGAGGATTACCATCAGAAAAAGGTATTGAAACCTGTCAAAAAAATCAAAAGAAGCGCTGGCAACGCCCTAAGTCCAAAATCATGCCAGACTTCTGTATAAAATCTGCCCCCAAAATGAAAGGAAAACACAACTCAATAGCTATCAACAAGGTCCAGTACCAGGAAAACCCATGAATTTTCAATTTGATATGAGAGTGGCGACACAAGTATTGACATGGCTGAAAAGGAAAACAATAGCAAAATTGAGAAAATATTAATAAAAATAAATACAAACATATCATATAGTATAAAAATGAATCAATGAAGACAAAATTATGTATCAAGTTAGAAAATTTCATAATGTCAATGTTATTTATTTATTTAGATATTTTATTTTGATTTTTGTTTTCTTTGAAAATGGCCTTAGAGCTGAAACTAGTCAGTAAATATATACATAGTTTTTACTTGGGTACTCAGTTTATCAATGTTGAATTTTTCTGTAATATATATGATGTTTATGTATATGAATTTGAACGGATGGTGTTTTTGGCCTCTAGAGATCAAAATGAAAAAGTAAATCGGTCCCGGGTTACTTACCATGAGACCTACGGTAATAGCTTATTCCCTATATAGGAAGTTTGCTAAAAACAACAATATAATACTGTTATGACATAACTATATATGAAAAGCGCAGGTTGACTTACACATCGTAAAGCTTCATATGACCATCGTCAGAGGCCGTCAGCAGCAGTTGAGAGTCGGGAGAGAATGTGAGAGACCTGATAGGCATTGCGTGACCTTCCAATGTGTGAACCAGCTTGCCTGACGCTACATCGAAGATGTTAATGATCCCGTCAATGGCTCCTGATGCTATGTACTTCCCATCTGGACTCTACACAAATAATGTTACTCAGAATTCAGAATATATATGTGTGTGTGGACAGAGGTTATAGACAGTTGGTATATTCAACTTTATTTTCTTTTCTCAGAAAATATTTTTAGGTTTAAGGTCATCGCCAATAAACTCATTGCTCTTTGGAAACTGACTAATGTGCTTTGAAAACTTGGTGTTGCAGAATTGTATACTGAGCCCATTGTGGACACCCTGCTATAAATGAAAGATAGCCTAAACCACCTCAATAGAAAATATCGAGTTGTTAGTTTAGTAGTGGTGTCTCACTCTGGTGTGAGAATGATGGATTTGGATCGCTGCCATGTTCACCAAAGTTTAAGACCGCTATTCTTGTAAAAGCGCTTGCTTACTTTATAAAATGCAACTAGTGTAGGCACTGGGAGACACTCACATAGGCAATACTCAGCGTAAACTTCCCCCTTGTGTCCAGAGTCCGCTCCTGTTTGTTTGTCTCCACACTGTACATGTGTATCTTGCCTGCGTGACTGCCTGAGATGATGAACTTGTCATCCGGGGAGAAGCAAACTGTCCACACGTCAGCTGGGCCTGTCTCCATCATGGCCATCTTGTGTCCTGTACTAGCGTTCCACAGCCGCAGCGACGAGTCTAGCGAACTAGACGCAATCACTACACAAACAAGACAGTAATGAAGGTAAAACCCAAAAGATGTAAAAGTAGCCATGAATAAAACATCATAGATTAAGAGTTAGTTAAGGACAAAAAACCTGGCAATGTAGCCTACAATATACGAGAATTAAACAGAATAGCCTACAGCCTAAGAAAATAAGACTTTTAGGGATTAAGAGTTTAAAACCAGATGGAACTTTAGGAATAAAGAGATCAAAATAGGTACAATTCAATTCAATTCAATTATTTAAGATGGGGACGCCACTATGTGCGTATTTTAACCCAAATATGAGTGAAGGATGAGTGTAGGATGAGTGGCGCGATCTTGTAGTCTTGTTAGTGACTAAGGCCGACATGTTCCTTAGACACATTTGAGATTAAATATCTCAGTAGGCCTACTCATGAGCTATGTCCACACTCGTGTGCGCTTTCAATATCAACGTGCCTTTCAGCTTTCAATCCAACATTCAATTCAACATGCACATATTGCATATGCGATATTGCATGCACATTCAGGCATGCCTTTTAGCTGTCCACACTCATGCGTCACTTTCCTCACATTCTAGATACCTTTCCCTAATTGGATGAAGACGACTGTCCACTGGCCACCATTTTGGACATAAAGAAAACTCTCTCTTACATAATTGAAAATGCTGTCATTGACAATGAAATATTCTAATGTTTTGTGTATATAGTGTAAATTTTTGTGTTTCCTGTGCCAGTTTGGACTCTTTCCCATTCAGGTAAGCCTGCTATCCTTAACAAAATCAAAAAATCCTAGGCCCTTGTGCTCTATTTTACACCGAGTGTGGATATAGCTATTGATGTCTTCACCAGAAACAACGGAGATGTATTACAGATAGTATAATGTTTAGTTTTCCATTAAAATTTTGTTTAAGTTGAGTTTAATTTGAATTAATCCCTTGGTTACACCGAATATGTACTCAAATAAATGTCCCACAACCAAGTAGCACATTCTAAGTGAGTCGTACTTACGTGTGGAATCTGAGTTTACAGCCACAGACACCACGCCCAGTGAGTGACCTTCCAGCTGATGTTTCTCCTTGAAGCTGTCATCTTTGATTGTCCACGTCTTTACCAAATCATCGGCTCCACCAGACACAATATAGTCGATGACTTCATCACTGTGAATACAATATGTTAGTTCAATTCTAAATTAGCAATTCTTCCAACGGTTTATTGAGTTAGAACTTAATTGTTTACTTAAAAAAAAAATAATTGAAATAAAATAAATAGGCCTAAAATCAAATAAAAGTTAGCTGAACGGTAAATTAAATGGTACAGTATATGTAAGAGAGCCGTATTTTTCCTTTAAAGCACTAATTTATAACTTTACCAAACAAAACTAGTTTGTTAGCAAACATACGTCTACTTTTAGTTTTAACTGAAAATGATACTTTTTCTATACCTATGCCTATTGTTCTTGAAATGGACTACGATTTTTAATAGGCTATAACAAATCTCCATGTTATTTAAATAATCCTATTAAGACGTGATTTATTCAGGTAAACAATTTAACTTAGGCAGGGTTCACACAAGCGACGAGTCCACCGACTCGATCGCAGGCAGGTCACGACCAGGTAAACTAATAAGCATAAACTCTTAAAATAATTTTATTGAAAGAGCTTAAAAAACAAAATAGACTAATTTAGTATGTGGAAGTGTATTTTACAATGATTATTGTTAACAAGGAAATAAAAAAAAAAATTTAAATTCCTATGTTATTTTTATGGACAGTAAGTAAACTGTTGTAGGTTGTTTGTTTATCTATATCTTTTGATTAAACTTGGCAAATTTATTTATTTTACACTAACCTAAGCAATAAATAGTTCTTAGGCCTACTAAAAAACACACTTTATGACCCTCGCTGTAGCAGCAAACTAGGTTCTTGTCAAGCCTAACGTTATCTAAATAGATTTAATTGAAAACCCATCATGTAAATGGAAATTTGTTTAGTCTGTAGGTTTTCTACGGCAGAAGTATTTTGATTGTTGGACTGGTAATACAGTTTAACAAAATTCTATGCGATTTAAAACATTGCTAATTTCTCTGTTTTTAATAGCGGTAACGCTATTTTAAAAACTAATAACGTCTAATGTAAACCAAACAAAATATTAAAGTGAAACAAAAAGATCATTATATATTTTTTAACCATGATGATTATATCCTCCCATGCATTTGGGTATTTACTCAGGGGAGGTATAGAAGAGGCTACGATGACAGCTGTGGGCTTCTTATTAGCTGAGGGAACGCCATTACCGTAACAAAACGGTAGGTAGCCGTCGGCCTCGGTGGTCTAATGGTTAGCGTACCGGGCTGATATTCCGTAGGTCCCGGGTTCGAATCCTGCTGGTAGCATTAACTTTTTGTCCAAGATTTTTTTATTATCAGCAAGTTTGGTTGGTTTGGTTCGGTTATTACAGTTTAATTTTATTATTAAGTCATTATAAAATTTTAATCGAGCAAATTCTAGTTTTATTTAATAAACAGAATTATTTTTCCGATTACCAAACTTTTGTTATATTATTTCTTTATCAGCAAGTTTGGTTAGTTCGGTTAGGTTATATGATAGTTTAATTTTACAATTAAAAAATTATAAAATTGAATTTGAGACATTTATAATTTTATTTTATGAACAGAACTATTTTTGCGATTAGTAAACTTTCATTGCCAAAGTGCTCTCTACTACAGCGCTGTTCACGGAGGAATTTTGAACTAAATGCCTCATTCGTACCTCCCCTAAGTCAGACCCATGCATTTGTCTTCTTTATTTTGTCATGGTATTGCAAAAGACTAGTGTTATGAATTACTGTTTTTAGTAATCAGCTGAAGTATTTATTTACTTGTTGTTTGTATTAGAGATTTGTTTACCTTGACAACTATGTAACAATTTAAGTTTATTAAAGCCTTATTTTCTAAAAAGGTTCAGTTATTCACAACAAATTTAATAAACTTAAATTTATTAAGATAATTAAATAATCAAAATCAAAATGGAAAAACTTTTAAAACCAGACAGGTTTGATATTAATCCTGAAAATCCTTCTGCAAGTAGAGCATTCAATCACTGGTTCAGGACACTTGAAAATTTCATATCTGACTCAGCAGTTACTGAAGAGAGGAAACTTAACGTGTTGATTAATTTTCTTTCTTACAATGTCTACGAGTATATTTCTGAATGTTCCACGTTTAAGTCAGCAGTTGAAATTTTGCAAACTATTTATAATCCTAAGAAGAATGAAATTTATGCTCGACACATGCTAGCAAACCGCAAGCAGAAGAAAGAAGAAAACATAGACAAGTATCTACAAGAACTTAAACTTCTAAGTAAGGATTGCAATTTTCGTGCCATAGATGGAAATACTTATCGAGATGAAGCCGTTAGAGATGCCTTTATAAGTGGAATTATGAACCCCCATATTCGACAAAGACTACTAGAAAAACCGTCCTTGACATTAAAAGAAGCTGAGGACATTTCACGTTCACTTGAGTCTGCACAGAAGAGCTGTGAAGCATATGGATCTTCAAACCAAATTGAAGTCACATATTGCAACACTTCATCAACACTACCAGATCAACTGGATGAAAATATAGATCCTGAAGAGTCTCCTACTTCAGCTTCTGTAGCAAAAAACTTTAAACAGAAGTGTTTCTACTGCGGTGGCCGGCGTCATTTTACTCGAAACGACTGTCCTGCCAAAGATGCTACTTGCTCTGGTTGTAAGAAAAGGGGACATTTTGTGAAGGTATGCAGGTTGATGAAAACTCAAGGTAAGACCTTTAATGCCTCTTCTTTGGTAGTAACCACGCTTTCATGTGCAGCTGCCTCCAATGGACTGTCAAAAGCAGTTGTGCGGGGTTATGCAAATAAAATACCTGTTGAAGTTTTGGTTGATACTGGAAGTACCGATAGTTTTATAAACCGAGCTGTGGTAATTGAAAATGGTTTTCATGTAATTCCAGAACGGAAACAGGTATCTATGGCTTCCACAAACCTAAAGTCACCCATCAAAGGTTATGTTAATGTGAACTTAGAGTTCTCTGACCATAACTATGAGAGAGTACAACTGTTTGTTATTGACAATCTGTGCACTGACATATTGGTTGGTCATGATATAATGAAACTGCATTCTTCAGTGAACCTAGATTTTGGAGGAGATAAGTTACCTCTGTCCATTTGTAATGTTGCCTGTGCTTCTGTGGAACCACCATGCCTTTTTCATAATCTATCACCTGACTGCAAGCCCATTGCAACTAAGTCTCGTAGGTATTCTAATGATGATGAAAAGTTCATCAACTCTGAAGTGCAAAAACTCCTTCAAAGTGGTATAATTGAAGAAAGTTCATCTCCCTGGCGTGCACAAGTGCTTGTTACCAAAAGCTCATCTCATAAAAAGCGATTAGTAATAGATTATAGTCAAACTATAAATAAGTTTACCCTATTAGATGCCTACCCCTTGCCTAATATTGAACACATAGCTAGTAAAATAGCAGAAAATAAAGTATTCAGTACGTACTATAGATTTAAAGGAGGCTTACCATCAAATACCAATATCGGAACATGAAAAATGCTTCACAGCATTTGAGGCAGCAGGAAAACTTTATCAGTTCTGTAGGGCTCCATTTGGTGTGACAAATGGTGTGTCTGCTTTTCAGCGCACGATTGATAAAATTATTTCCACTGAAGAACTAGAAGGGGTGTGGGCTTTCATTGATGACATAACCGTAGCCGGAAAAACTCAGTCAGAACATGATGAAAGGCTGAATAAATTCTTAAAGGTAGCTAAGAAATATAATATTACTCTAAACAATGAGAGGAGCAAATTTTCTCAAGACATAATATCAATCCTAGGATATCAAATTCGCTACCAGTCTATGCAAGCAGATCCAGAGCGTCTGAAACCCTTGTTAGATTTGCCATTGCCAGTTAATGCATCTCAATTAAAACGTGCATTAGGAATATTTTCTCACTACTCAAAGTGGGTTCCCAAGTTCTCAAACAAGATTCGGCCTCTGATTGATTGCAAATCTTTTCCTATATTGCCCTCATCTTTGCCAGCTTTGGCTTTTCAGGAAATTAAACAAGACATAGGAAAATCAATACTTACCGTGATTGATGATCTTTCTCCATTAGTTGTGGAAACAGATGCATCTGACTTTGCTATCGCTGCCACCTTAAGTCAAAAGGGTAGACCTGTCGCTTTCTTTTCAAAAACATTGACCGATTGTGAAAAACGTCATTCCTCTATTGAGAAGGAAGCCCTAGCCATAGTAGAATCTCTAAAGAAGTGGAGACATTTCCTCATTGGGCGACATTTTCTATTAATCACCGATCAACAGGCTTTGTCGTTTGTGTTCAACAGTCGGCATACTAGTAAAATAAAGAATGAGAAAATCACTAGATGGCGTCTTGAGTTGTCACCTTATTCTTTTGACATACAGTACAGACCAGGCAAAGAAAACGTCACCGCAGATGCATTTTCACGCATTTGTGGAGCTGTCACAAACATAAATTGTGATGACAAGCTTTTTGCACTTCACCAGTCACTCTGCCACCCTGGTATCACTAGGATGTACCACTGGGTAAAAAGTAAAAACCTCCCTTACTCAGTTGAGGATGTTAAAACAATGACAAACAAATGCCCAATGTGTGCAGAGATTAAACCTCGTTTCTACAAAACTACAAATGCTCACCTTATCAAGGCCACAAAACATTTTGAGCGACTAAATGTAGATTTTAAGGGTCCTTTGCCATCTTGCACACGTAATGGATATCTATTGACTATAATCGATGAATATTCACGCTTCCCTTTCGCATATCCCTGCAGTGATATGTCCTCAAGCACAGTAGTTCGCTGTTTAGAAAATCTATTTTCAATATTTGGAATGCCAAACTACATTCATTCAGACAGAGGGACATCTTTTCTTTCAAAAGAACTCAGAGACTACCTCCATGAAAGAGGGATAGCCACCAGTCAAACGACTCCATATAATCCGGCAGGGAATGGCCAAGTTGAAAAGTTCAATGGAACATTGTGGAAAGCAATCTTGTTAGCTCTGAAGTCCAGGTCACTAAAGGTAGAACAATGGGAAGTTGTACTCAATGATGCATTGCACTCCATAAGATCTCTTTTGTGCACTTCGACTAACAGTACGCCACATGAAAGGTTTTTCATTCATCCTCGGCGATCCCTCAATGGCACCTCACTGCCAGCTTGGCTCATGAAACCAGGACCGATATTCTTAAAAAGAAATGTTCGGCCATCAAAATTTGATCCTTTAGTTGAGGAAGTAGAGCTGATGGATGCTAACCCTCATTATGCCTTGGTTAAACACAATGATGGAAGAAAGTCAACTGTATCCCTCAAGCACCTTTCTCCAAGGGGGGATGTAAGTCTACTAGAAGACCAAGTCCTTCCAACGCTAAAAGAAAATCCTCAACTGGTGACAGAATCACAACCACACGTCATTCCAGAGCCGAGCATTAATCCAGATCCAAATGTCAATCCAGAACAGAATGTCACTCCATTTGATACCCAAGACCATGAGTATCAACCAAATGATGATAATCAACCGAACTTCATTCCTGAACAAGACTCTGAAGAAAACCAACCTCTAGAAAGGCCGAAAAGATCAAGAAAACCACCAAGTTACCTCGCTGATTACATTGTTTAAATTTTGAGGGGGAGAATGTTATGAATTACTGTTTTTAGTAATCAGCTGAAGTATTTATTTACTTGTTGTTTGTATTAGAGATTTGTTTACCTTGACAACTATGTAACAATTTAAGTTTATTAAAGCCTTATTTTCTAAAAAGGTTCAGTTATTCACAACAACTAGTGATCCAGACACGGCCATTTTTCACCGTGAAAAATAAAAAACTTCAAAAACACCGACCATCGACATCAAATATTTTGAAACCACTCGGATCCATCACTGGTGCACAATGAAAACAAAGAAAAATATGTGAGCTGCAGCGCGACAAATGATTGCTCGTGTGAACGCTCTCATATGACAGGATGTAGGCCTACTGCTACGCCACTAGAACTATCGACTAGGTAGCCACGATAAGTCGCGACACTTGGCTAGGAAGCGGGCCTAGCGATGGTTTTCGACACCAATCTCAATCGTGGCTTGATCGCCGTAGCCGTAGGCTCGTGTGAACGGCCCCATTTGAACCTGTGGTCCACTACCTAGTCCTGCTTACCTATTCACAGTGTAGTCAACTAGATGTGTTGCTTGTGTGAACCGTGTGTTACAGGCTAACTTTAACTAACTCTTCTCTTAATTTTCGTCATAAAGACATTTTCATGGGCCACTAAAATCTTAGGTGTTTGGTCTTGCAACAATAGATTATATTCTTATACATAAATAAATCTAATATAGGCTAACAAACATTAAACTTAATAATTTTCAATAGGCTACATACCTTATATCGTCACCATTCATTACTTCTTCGCTTTCATTTCCATCTTCATTTTCAGGTCTCTTCTTTTTCATCCGACCCCAAGCCACACTCCAAATACTCTCTTCATGAGCAGCTTCCTTCCTCGTAAGTAAGGAATACTGGAAAATATTTCTTACTTAATTTTTTTTAAGTTGTGATAAGTTTAGGTTTGATAGTGATGTCAAACATACTTCATGACACTGACAAAACCATGGATTACAACAATCAATGACAAGCATTACTCAATAATTTAAAAAACTTTTGAGAACTGTGTAACTGTTCAACCTAGAAGACAGACATGGTCACTACTACACTGGGACACCGGGTTTACTGGTTTTGTTCACCCAAAAACCAAAAGCTCTGATGGATGGCCATTTTGACTAGAACTTAAAGTGCTCTTTCCTGGACCAGGAGAAAGCACTGTAGATTAAGAGTTTCTAGTTCCCGTCTGGTTACCTCCCGAGAAATGTCATTTAACTTATGACAGAACCAAAGCAGAATAAACCGTACATGAGAGGTGCATTTGAAATACCACGGTGAACAACTCTGATGGAAGTTGGAGACAAGATGTTTTTTTTACCCACAACAATAAAAAGTAGGCCTAAAGCAATTAATTAATTATCCCTCACAGTAGCCAACCTGCTCTTTTATTGCACTCCGTCAGCTATATTATTCACTCTTTTCTTTTAGCGAAGCATTGATGATGCTCCTTATCTTACACCAGGAATGTTTTAACTGATCAGACCTTTTAAACCCCCAGCACCAAGGCAAGTTAGCTGAGTCGAGTAGTTGTAGTGCTTGAATCTAGTCATTAAAAGGTTGGCGGTTCGAATCTGAGAAAGGTAAATAGACGATTTCATGGTTACGGGTGTTACATTCAAACATTATACCCTACTTTAAAATAGTACAAGATATATTATAAAGTTTAAGAGTACATATTTTAAATCTCATTCAACACTGTTAGATCTTGCGTATTACATTTTGCTGAGTATGCCTATACCTTGTGTTTATTAGATATTTTACGGGATACCAATTTTAAAAGTAGCGTTACGGGTATTACCTAAAATGAATAGACCTAACTTAGCTACCGTACCTATTTATTTTCCTGGCTGAGGAATCCATGATATCTATGAATTAGATAAAACTATTATTCAGTAAAAAATGTTGTGGAGTAACAATACAAGTTATACTTTGACTTTGTCCATTGTAATTTTCTAGGGGAGGGAGCTGGTCCAGTGGTTAGAGCGCGGGACTCCGGTTCCTGGGGTCCTGGGTTCAAATCCTGCCAAATCACCAATGGATTTTATCTAAGTGATAATGCCGTAACCCCTAGGTCTAGCCTGAAGTAATGTGAAAAACGATTCCGGGCTCGTGCCTAGGATGGTTTATAATTACAGTTTTTCTGTGTTACTGGTGTTACATCGTTGAATCGAAACTTGTTATTTGTATAAAAACTCGTTGATAGTTCAATTTACAGTAAACAATCAATAGGCCTACAGTATCAACACAACTAGGTAAAGCCACATAGGTACCAAATTATAATAATTTGTGTTCATAATTAAGGGAGATGACATTTTTCTTATTCTTCATAAGAATAACATGGGGTCTGAATACGCAGGTTTGCTGCTACGGGAACTATCGGAAAAAAATGTTTTTGTGCAAATATCAATAGACCACAACTATATAAAGCAATATAGCAAGTTTTGTACAGTTTCTTAACTGGGCTATGCTAATATCGATTGAAACTATCGATTCGATTAGTAAACCTTCATGCGATTTTTCCACCATCAGCAAGTTTGGTTGGTTAGGTTAGGTTATGATAGTTTAATTTTATAATAGATATAAGTTATTTAAAAATATAGATTATTAATCAATATTTCCAATTCGATAGTTTCAATCGATATCAGCATAGCCCAGTTAAGAAACTGTAACCCAAGTTTTGTCACAATAAGTTGATAAATAAGCAAGATATTCAATTTTCTTCAATTTAACTTTTTTTGTCAACAAGTCTCATTAACATAGAATGACCCAAATCTCCTTAACTGAGTTTAAATATGGACCCAGCCTATACCTACTTCCTAATTTAATATAATAAAAGTGGTCTAAAGACCTAAGAACCGGGTTTACAGAAAAATTAAAAAAATATTGTTTTGTTAAGTGGCTAACTAACTTATGTTTCAAAAATAGAACTGATTAGGTTAGGTCTAACCTAAAAGAGTTTAATTGCATTGGTACAATCCTTTAAACAGGTTAAAGGAATAAATAAAATCCCGCTAGAAAATTAATATGGATTTCACAAAGTAAAGTACTAATACATTTAGCAAATTAGCAGTTTAAAAGTAATATTTACCATTCTTCAAAGAGTCCCCTTTCGCTTGCCGGTACGATACGGATAATCGGTTAGACGTATCGACTAGTCGAAGTCGACTGCTCGACTTTCGTCGTCGCGTCTCGCGCCGTCGGTCGTCGCGTCTCGCGCCGTCGGTCGTCGTTTCTCGTTTGAAGATTGAAGTCGATTCGAAGTCGAGTCGAGCCCGGTCGGTTCGGTCTGCTCCTGCTGGTCGGAGGGGATTGGACTTGGATGGAGGCACAGTTTTTATTTCAGCTGCAGTTTTTTAATACGAACAAAATGAGAGTTAAAAATGAAAAATTATTAAATTCACAAACACCGTTGGCCACCCTTACGTATCGTTGCGGTAATGACTAAAATCGTGCTAAAATGGTGTTCCCCACCCATACTAGAAGTGTTCCCTCAGCCAATAAATTGCTCTTATTTTGTCTGTATTAAAAAAACTGCAGCTGAAATAAAAATTGTGCGGCTCAGACTGGGCTCAGGCGGAGGTCAGGCGGATTCGGATTTTCGGAAACTACGAATACGATACTACCATTATATTACTTCATCTATGATACTACTGTATTCGTAGTTTGTAGTCTCTTCTACTTCTAGTCAAGTCATATTGAACTCATATTAGTCTATTATTTATTATCAGTTGTTATCAGATTTTAGCTTGTGGGTTTGTTGTCGTTTCAAATTTATTTATTTTTTATTAGTATACCTCTCTCTGGTTATTTTGTCGGTTGTTGTTTAGCTGGTTGGTTTGTTATTGTTATTGTTTTTTATTATTTTATTATTATTATTTATTTATTATTATTTTCTTTTATTCTTTGTTATTACGTCGTTATCGTATTGTTCAATTTATTTGTCTATACGCACAAAATTTATTCTTATTGTCAGGATTATCAACTTTGTATTCTAGTCTTTCACTTTCAGTATTATTTCAACAAACACGGATTATTTTCCTATTTTGCATTAGACTGTTAGTAATGATGATTTTATGTATTTTCCCAGTGGCAAGAACTAGAATATTTAATTTTTGAACTAGTTACCTTAAGAGTCTTCCGTAGTGGAAGCCGTGTTGGATTTCTGAAGAACAATGTTAACTTTGGGTCCAAATATCTCATCAGCAAATTGTCATATAATTATGGATAAGGAGTTAAATATAAGGAATTGCGGTCCTCTAGAGATCGACGTTTTTTATTTCACAATTTTTAATTTTTATAATGAATAATTGATTATTAATTAGCTTAAAATTAAGCTAATTATTGAAAGGAAATGAAAATGGATTTTCGAAATTCAAAAACCTCAGTCACGAGTCTATTATGTTAAAAATACAAATTATAAATTTCAAAGCTATATCTTAACAAATAACGCCGTTACGTGTCCACAAATGATGCAATTCTAACATTGTTCTTATGGGGAAGAAATCCAACATGGCTTCCACTACGGAAGACTCTTAAGCCTTTGGTCTTGCAAGACCAAGACAAAGACAGTACTGTGATCAGTGGTTCCGGCCCGTCGCGCGTCCGCGCCCGCGAAGTTGCCGTGACGTAAACGTGCCAATCTTGTGATATGTGTATAAACTGTATAAATATGTAAATAGAACTTCAAGACTCCCTGAAGATGCCACACACTGTGGTGAAATGTATTGGAGAATTATATCTTCATCCTGCAAGACCAAAGGCTTAAGCTAAAAAAAATCTAAAGGCTTAACCAAAGGTAACTAGTTCAAAAATTAAACTGTTAGTAAGCTAAGTTTCTTTTATTTAGGAGCACATGAACTATCTCATCCTTTCAAACTGCTTTCTATTGTGCTTGTTAAATGTTACGGTATAAGCCACCCTGAGTTGTACTGATTTGATGTGTATGGTTGTAAAATGGGGATGTCCGTTGGAATAAATAAATCAAATCGAAACGAGATACGATACAATTCGAACGAGCTGACTTCGAACTTCGAGTCCTCCACTCCTTCTACTATATTTTTATGGTACCCCTGACTTGGGTGCCCCTAAGAGTACGGTAAAAGAATCGTTTCTTTTAGGATGGAAGCAGAAAACCATTATAAAATTAATAATTATTATAATAAATAATTCATATTTTTGTAGTGGCCAACCATAACTGTATCAAATTTGCATTAATAATTCAAAGCAGCTCTAGAGCTCGCTCGTTTCCTGGGGCCCATTTCATAATAAACTACAAGTTACAAGTTACAACTTGTAACTTGTAATTTCCATTAGATTTGCATTGAGCGATCAGCTGATTTACTAATAATATTAGTTTGTACTTTATTATGAAATGGGCCCCTGGTGTAGCCTGGGGGTAGGTGGTTGGAGTGGCTCAGAACAGAACCGGTATTGTACGGGCTTCAACTTCAACCACAACCACCTGCAACCCTACCCCCAGGCTTCACCAGGAAACGCACGATATCTACCTACCTCTACCATTGACTTTATATCTCTACAGTAGGTATATATAGTCAATGCCTCTACCAATCAATCAAAGAAATTCATGAAGCTTCATAGATAAGATCCAAGCATCTCTTTTGGACTACTTCATACAGTACTGCGGAAAAAGATAAGAAGAATAAGAATACTCAAAATGATGCTTAAAGTTAAAAAACTTCAACTTCAAAATCTAAATCTAACCTCTCTTACAATTAATTACAATACAAACTAATTCACATGGTATTATTTTGGTTGTATTATAAAAAGAATACATAATTAATCTCAAAGATAATATTGTGATAGCCTATTTTGACGATTGTAATATAATTTTTTAGCGTTCTTAGAATGGCTAACGTTCTTCTCAGTGAAGCAGAAAAGACTTTCATTCTTCAAGGAGTTGAGGTTAGTTTGTTGTAGGCTAGGCTTAACTTAAATCAATTTAGGCCTAGTCGTGCATTTTATGTAACTTTACTTTAAACTGATGGTCTTAAAAAGTGTGTTCTGACATTTTTCTTTATCGTACAGCTTCAAAACAACAAAAAAATGTTCTAAGGTATAATGAAAGATGATAATAGGCCTAAGTTAAGTTACATTGGTTAAGTATACAGCTAAACTCACAAATTTGTTTTTTTGGCTAAACAGGCCTATGCATATTAGGCCCGATTTTTGACATTTTTTTTATTCTACTCGAAATTCAACGCTGATTCCAATTAGTTGTTGGCTTCTCTAATCATCCTTCACCAAACCAAATATGTAATCAAACGTTGTAGTCAACATTCTTAAGTGTAATCCATAAACCGAGACTCGTGTTTTCAAAGGAAATAAGTGGTGATACTCACCATGTTTGTCCCTTTCTTACACACCTTATGGACCCCGACACTTCTCCTAATGATTAAAAACTGCCACCTTAAGGTATTTTCGACAAGACTAATAAGATACGAGCCGTCTTCGACAGAGTCAACCGTCTACAACATATGATGCGCTATGCTACGTTGCACTCTGTGTGTATTGGACTATGCTGCGTTCGGCTACGCTACGCTACGCTTAACTTAAAAATGGATAGAGATATTTTTATTATGCAAAAAGTCCCAAGGCAACTGGAACCACAAAACATAATTTTTTTATATTTATTTTGATGTTTAAGAAATGTTTATTTTTTTGTAATGGTACAATAAATTTAACAATTACAAGTATAATATTACCTGATCAACGTAAAGTCAAAGTTGAACTATGCTAAAACCCGGTTCCACATAACCCACTTCAGCATAGGTAATTATTTTGGCGAGGTTAACTAGACTTATCAGATTCACTAAACCTCTGCCATCAAAATACGATTTGGGGCCTTGGTAGGCCTATATATGCCTATTTCAAACAATAAACAACAAGGCATTCTAGCCTGATATTTAAACCAAAAAGGGACCTATTTAACATTTGTTTAAATAAATAGGAAGTTCAAAACAAAACCTAGGCCTGCCAACTTAATATTTGAATTTTTAGGATAACTTTAGATGTGATGGACGTTCCTGTAAAGACTATCGACCCATGGAGCTGGAGACAGACGTAGTGAGCAACGCAAGTGGCTCTGCTCGCCTTAGACTCGCAAACACAGACATTTTAGTTGGTGTCAAAACAGAAATTGATGTACCATTCCCTGAAACACCTAACCAAGGAAAGCTTGAATTCTTTGTTGACTGGTAAGATAAAGTTAGATGTTTTATTGATAAGATTTGACTTTCAGCTGCACACTTTACTTACAGAATCTTTCTACACACTTTACACTGTAAATTTAAAGTGTAGCCTAATGTCTACAAAAACTACTAAATTAAAAGCATTAAGAAAAGTAAAAAATAAGTAGCCTATGTCCTTAAAATTAATTAAGTAGGATCAAAGTGACTTTATTAGCCTATTGTATTTTTAACCTCAGAATGTGGCAGAATCAGCCAACCGCATTGAATAATTAGAATTAATTAGTCTGCAGGTTTGCCGAGATGGAGATATTCTTTTAAAATACTGTACATGCAACTTCTATTTAACCAAACCCCATTTTGGAGAGTATTTTAATTTAAATTACGTCCTAGCTAACTGTTTTCTAGCTCTAGAAATCTTTTGACAAAAGTTAGGTGAATAATCAACAGATACTTCTTACAGCCTGAGCCTACCTAATGGTCATACTTATATTTCCACAAGAGGAGGTTGAATGACTTTCCCTTGGTAGTCTAAATTTTTTACAAACCAATGTCATATTTTTTGTAAGGGACAAAAAAAAATTCATTAACTAACAAATTGTGGCAGATCTTAAATTGATTTTTTAATCTTGTGCTCATGTTCTAGTTCTGCCAACGCAACCCCTGCATTTGAAGGCCGAGGGGGAGAGGACCTTGCTACCGACATTAGCACTGGTTTGGCCCGAGCCTACGCTTCCTTCCCATTGGACAAGCTCTGCATTCTCCCAGCACTGCAGTGTTGGAAACTTTACGCAGACATCTTGATACTGGAATGTGGTGGGAATCTTTTTGATGCCGTTTCACTCGCTGTCAAGGCAGCCCTACACAATACTAGAGTACCTAGAGTGACAGGTGCTGAGATGGACGGAGGCCAAGTAGACCTCACTCTGTCGGACGACCAGTACGACTGTTGGAGACTAGATGTTACCTCAGCACCTCTCATGGTCACCCTTTGTAAGGTAAAATTAATTGGTTTTAGGTTTAAAAATAGGGGTGACAGGTATAATGTTCGGTAGTTTATTATCAACCCTTCAACATATTTTGGTATTTTCACTAAGCAAAATTACTCTATCCTGATTGGACAACGATAAACAACTCATGGATCGCTGGCTCAGTGTTGGCAGCACGCTCTAGCTTCTCCCACTCCCGACTGGCAGAAGCCGACGCAGCCCATACACTCACCATTATATAAAGCACATTTTTGGTTCAGCTCTGTTGAAATATATAGGGATAAGAGATTGCAAACACATGCCAACATTTTTTACCATTCAAAACTTTGTCTGTTTTACTTCTTGCAGAAAATAAGGGTTTTGTATTAAATGATAATATATCTGCCAAATTTGATAAAAATATAAGTTATCCACAAACAAGCAATCTACAACCGTTTGCTTAGTCTCCATAAGAATATAATACCCCTGCCGCAGCAAACCTGCAGACTAAGCGAATTTCCATTTGCCTGATTGGATTTACACTAAAATGTCTCCTTAAAAATATCACATTTATTCCCTATTTAAATAGCATTAGTTTAACGAGTAGGTTTGCTGCAACAGGGAGGATAAAAAGGGTTTTTTTTGTAAAATGTTAATAGTTTAGTATAAAATTAATGAATTTTCCAAATTTGATCAAAATATGTTCATAAACAAGCAAACTACATCAGTTTACAATTTTCTCCAGATAAGAATAACATAAAAATTTTAAATTTACAATTTTTTTATTTTTTTCCGTAATCATTACGCAACAACGCTTCAATATACTAAATTATTTATTTTTTAAACCTCTACAAAATGGTTGGGAAAGGAATTCCAAAATTTTAGGTTTTTAGGGTCAAAAATGGGAAAAACCAATTTTAACCCCATAAAACCCCCCATAAACCCCTGTTCTGTAAAAAAAGAATGATATGGAAATTTTACCAAAAAAGGTCAAATCACAAGTTCTTGCAATGAGTTCTAAGCTCTAGAGGAAATTCTCTAGAGGAAATTCGCTATAAACATAAAGACAATGGTAAAGAAATATATACAAAAATCTCTATTAAAGGCTTAAAGCTTTGGAAGCTTTTGTTGTTAGTCAACCAAATAGGTACCTACCCTATATATTGATTTTCTATAACATTTTTCCAGTAAAGATATCTGTGTAAAGTAAAACAGTTTTTAATCAGGACTGATTTATTTAGTTGGTTGATGTATGTCCACAATTATGTGATTGTGTTGAGGGGTCAACGTGTGACCGACACTGTGAGCCAAACCGTTCAACTGTTTTGATATGAAATGATGACAATGTTGACAGATTGGAGACAATTGTGTGGTTGACCCTACAGCGGAAGAAGAGACGTGTAGTGCTGCTAGTTTGGTCATAGCTATCACTCCTCTCGGTAAACTGTCTTCTGTCTTCAAAACTGGGGTCGGCAGTTTCCACAGTCAAACCCTCCAAGACGCTCTCAAGGTCAGTAGGCCTAGTACACTACACAAACTTAAATAAAAAATATAAAAATGTTTTAAATAATATTAGAAGGTATGTGACTTTTATAGGAATTTAATTAAAAAAACACAATTTGCAACTTCCATCCCTAAAAGGCCAAGTTAGCATTCCTCCACCTGGTAAAGCTACGCGCACATTAGGGCGGCACGGCACGGACGGACGGGGCGGAACAATCGCAATTTAGGACAGTCTGCGAGCTAAAACTGTGAGTCCGACTTCGACAGAGACCATGAGACCAGGGGAGAATGGTGGAAGTCCCGTGACGCCTGCACGGTCAGTGTGCAGCGCCCGGTCAGTACGGCAGCTCGGAAATGTCCTAGAGTTATGTCTCTCAGACTTTTTGACAAACGGCGGAAGCTGCCGAACGTCCATTGCCGACTGTCCTGCCGTAGTAGGCACACTCATTTCATTTCATATAACTTTATTCATTTGAGTACAATTCATAAATACAGGAATGGCATCAAGAGTAATTTAATTCGCTCTAATTCTTAGCTAACGCTACAAAAAAAGTAGCGCGCTACTTCCCAACACTGCATATTTATGTATTCTTAATTAAGTTTGTAGATTCTGCTTCTTAATCAAGATTTCAAGATTATATAAGTTTGTATAAAATTGGCAAACAATCAAGCAACTTTGTAATCTCTCATATTTTGTTCGTAGGTTGGCAAAGAGATTGGAGTCACTTTAAATGAAGAGCTCAACAAAGTCTTAAAGTTAGAAGAAGACCTTGGTGAAAAACGTGAGCGTTATGGGTTCTTGAAATAATTGAAGTAATATTTTAATCATTGTAAATAAAAATTAATAAAATCTGAAGCTGCAGTGAATTTGTGACTTTCTTCTACTTTTGATATAGGTATTACATCTTACATTTATTTACCCTTAAAACATTTGAATTACAATCCTGCTATGCTTGCCATCATAAAACAACAAAAATAGAGCATTTCTAAACTTACAAGGAAAATAAATTCAATTGTGAAAAAATAAGAAAATTTAATATTGCACTTTAAAGAACATAAATGTGCCTAGCAAACAAAACCTGTATATATAAGTTAATATCACATGTACAGAGTAAGCTAAAAGTTTTTATTAAGAATAGGTTTCAGAAAGGTTACATATGTGTGGAAGCCTTTAAAAAGATAGGCTTAAAAAGTTACAACCTTTGTGATAAAACTAAATACCCCGCTGCAGAAACCTGCAGACTAAGCAAATTTCAACTTGTCCGATTACATCTATATACAGGGTGATCAACTCAAGGAGGCCACCATTGGGATATCGGGAACGGTAAGAATTAGAGAAAACTTTAAATGGGGAACATTCCTTTATATTTTGTGGCAGTAAAAAATATGATTTTATTTTTTAAAAATTCAGCCGCCATTTTCCAAAATGGCGGCCAACTTTGAAATTTCTTAAACAACACCCTATATTTTATCATGTGTGTATTTTATGGATAGAGGATGCAATTTAAAAAGTTTTTTATTCTTGACATTTTTTCGATAAACACACTCGTTTAGGAGTTACAGCCTAAGGAAAAATGATTTCCGGTGTACATTTTACATCATGTAGTTCCTAAACAAGTAGGTTTATAGCGAAAATGCTAAGAGTGTGCCAACAGGGTGCAGCACGATTATTTTTTTTTTATATTTATTACAATAGCCAATTTGCAACCAAAAGGTGAGTGAGCGTAGCGAACGAACTTCAACCTGAAGGCGAGTTAGCGTAGCGAACGAGCTAATCTGAAGGCAAGTGAGCGCAGCGAACGAGCTCCAACGTAAAGGTGAGTGAGCGTAGCGAAGGAACTTCAACCAGGATCTTGAAAATGAACAAGCAATTGACATAAAACCACATTAGGACAGGACGACGTCTGTCGGGCCAGCTAGTATTTAATAAAATATTTCCATAAATGAGACCTATTTATTCCCAATTTCAATAACATTAGATTTAATGAGTGCTTATTCCCTTAATAGCTTATTCCCTATAATGGAAATTCGCTAAAACATGCTGTAAAGATATGCTATAATTCTTTGAGTAAAAATTTGTAAAATTGTAACTGCAATGGGTAATTTTCAAAGAATAAAACGTATATATTACGCTCCTTTCAAACTATACGGTTTCCGGCGTCGGGTTGAAAGAAGTACGATTTTATGTCAAGTCTAAGTTTCTTTCACATTACATGGTTTCTGACTATACGGCAAGAGAAATGTGTTTACAAAATCACGATACTTTAATACTTTTCAATGAAATGGCGACCATACAAAGTAGGTATTTTAAGCCAAGTATGAATGGAGATGAGTGTAGGATGAGTAGCGCGATCTTGTAGTCTTGTTAGTGACTAAGGCCAACTTATTCCTTAGACACAGCTGTTAATTAATAGCGCGTACAGCTAATGGCAACTAAGGGACCTACAGTTTATAGTGGAATCCGAACCACATTTTTGTCTTGGTATATACGAATTGGTCTAATTTTCAGGATAGCACCGCGGATAATCGTAGTACTCACTCGTGCGGACATTAATCCACACCAGGGAGTATCGCATCCCCAGTGCATGCCTATAAATATCCACAATTCGTAACTTCCTAGTAGCTGGATTACAGGACGACGCCACCCGTCCCAGTTATAAATAATACATAAACATTTCAGACTGTAAACAATAGATAATCATTGAAACAGCTGATCTATTAAAAAACCGTGCACTTTGAAAGCTTGCATTTAACATACATGCGCCACTGACACACGGCCACGGCGCGACAACCGTCCGGTTCAGTGGCAGTGGATGGCTGCAAGGCGGCACATGCTCTTCTTAAAACTACTAACAAAAAATTGCCAGTACAGTGTTTGGCCGTATGGTGAAACCCGTATGGTCTGAAAGGAGCGTTAGGTTAACAAACTAAGCATTGCAAATCATGTTTCTCAAGCTTTGATCACAACATAACATCAAAACTAACTAGACAAGGAGCATTAAAGCAACCTATTCTTATCTTGACATTTTAAAATTTATGATTGAGGTGTTGTACATTGTATAATTTCAGAGTGAGGGACCTCGCTTTAGTCCGTTACAATGTTTATTTACAAAAATCAATAATACAAAAAAATCAATCATAATTTTTAGAGTTTTAAATGTGTCCTGCTGAACCCTAATCCAGGCTCAATATTGAGATTGAGGTACGGGTGCTAATGAGGTAATTGAGTATATGGGGTAACTTACGATAAAGTCTACTTAACTTGCATATTATTTTCTGTTTCAAGCTATGAATATAACTTTGAAGATGTAATTGCATCAAAAATGTTAAGGCGGTTGCATCAAAACCCCAGTTGAATGTAGTTGTGAGCTTACCAAACAAAAATATGTAAGTACAGCTGTGCAAAAATGTTAAAGGTATTTTTATTGTTGTGTGGTTTAAAAAAAATAAATAGAACATAGGCTGCAATTCTTTGAAAGCCATGTTATTCACCACATTAGAATGTCTTCTTTATGCTGTTAGCATTTAGGAATGATTTGGGCCCTAAATAAATAAACATTTTTATTTATTTATTAAAAAATTCAAAAACAAACAGCAGAACATTTCCCTACCCTTGGGTTTCAACAAATCATCAATATTATTTTTAAAACCACACAACTTTAAAAACCCTCATATTGTTTTGTAGTACTAGAAGGCCTACCTAACCTAAAAAGCTCCAGTAGATCTATCACAGATCAGGTAGTTGATAATACAGTATAATCACTACCACACTTCGCACACCTAAGTATCCACAGGTTCGCCATGTATCGAACATTGCCACTGCTCGACTCCGCACTCGCACATCGTACCAGCCGACACTACTCGGAACACTTTGACAGTACGACTGTTATCATCAAACTTGCAGCTCACATGGTGTCCGTTGATCAAAAACGTATAGAACTGGTTGGCGTAGCGGTCACGTAAGTAGACTGATCTAGGGTCTTCACGTAGAATGTCTGTTATGATTCGTGAAATGTTTCCTTCTCGCTCTGAGATTGAGTCCAGATTACCTTGAACTTGAGGTGTGAAAGTCACTTGCAACTGTGACATTGGTGATTGGGAAATCCACTCTGGAACACGAACCTGTGAAAAGGAGATATCATTACTAAACTGAATCTAATGTGTGTGATGATGATGGTAATGATGTAGGCCTACCATAGGACGAGAGCTTGGTTTCAAGGATCATTGTTGGGATAGGCTTACCTGAATGGAAAGGTGTCTGTCTTGGTACAAGAAACACTTTGTACGAAACACATTCATGTTACTTTAAACAATTTTGTAAATGACATTTACCATAATCCCAATATAGTTAAGCATTTTCTTGTAAACATGTTTAATATTTGAAACTACAGTAGTAGAAATATATTCTGCAAATGAAAGAGAGGACTTTGTAAAAAAAAACCCCTAAATTATACGCTGTTTGTTTACACTATGTTTTTGAAATAGTACCAAAGGGATGGAATTTGTTTTGTGTGATAAACTTTGAGTTTTGATTGTCAATCTTTTGTCAAATGTTTTCAGTGAAATTTGCAATTCTGGTAATTGTAATTCAGGTTTAGCTTAAGGAGACAGAGTAATAGCAAAAGTACTATAGCAGAAACTTGGTGTTAGATGAATCCATGCAGATCCATGAAAATAAAAAAATATAAAAAATGTCAACACGCCAAGGATTATTAAGCTTAAAGGCTGTATGGAAGTCATTTATGTTTGAAAGATTATTGTCCACATGTTTCATCGCTGATAGAAAATAGTAGTTTCACAACATCTCTGGGTCTAAAATCTGACCCTGAGTTCAGATATAAAAGACCCTAGAATCCAGGAAATTAGTACATATACAAAACAGCAAATGTTTAAAGTAGTCAAGTTAAAAAAAGTCTATCCATTTTTCGTCACCACCAAAATTGGACTTGATGGGACTCACATGGGCACTAGATGGCAGAGGAGAGTGTGTCCTGATTGCTGCTTGTAGTTGTTCTTCTTCTCCGTCAGGTGCTTCTCGTTCAATCACGTCAGATGGAGGGAGCGGAGGCCGCAACCCCACAATTGGGAGGGGGGCCGAAGCTGAACCACCCTCTTCTTCCGACTCCTGACCATCCAGCTCCAGTCGTTCCATCCCCTCGGTGTCGACAGTGAGGTCCGAGGGGTTGTCGTAGTGAGGGATGTACGGCTTCAAATCCAAAACTGGCGTACCGTCCACCATGTCTACACCTGAGAAGAATATGCTGCTCCCTAAAAACGTTTAAAAAGGCTGTACAAATATTGTTTAAATAAAGAAAAAAAATATTTGATAAAAGTTAAAGCAATTTCAATTTGCTTTTTTAATATAACGAGAACAAAATGGTCCAAACTTTACCAAAATGTTTAAATGTATTTATTTTATTGTGTTGATTTTTTCTTTAAAAATAAATAGGTAAACGTCAGCAGGCTAATACAGTTTTAATACCAATGTTTTTCTAGTCTGAAGATTTTAGTTTATAAAACATTGTTGGCTACGTTATAAATTTTAAAATCAGTGGTTTTTTTTAATCCAGTTATTTCAAACACTTGTAATACTTTTATACAAGTAAAAGTGATTCAGTTTGCACAAGTAAACACAATTCAATTTGTACTCAAGTCAACTCAAATCAAACCTATGAATACAACAAACCCTTTAAGAAGAGAAATGCTTATGAAGAATAGTCAGACTGGAATTTTCCCTCCGATATGTGCTTCGCGCGGCGGCCACAATACTCTCTCTAAGCCGATTCTTTGTTGCACTCTCTCTCTCACTGAGTCAGCTGATTTTGCAGCGAGCTCGCGATAGTCTGCCTAGCGGCCGCTGCGAAAACTAAACGAAATTCAAATATTCCCAGACTGAATTTTTAACAAAGGCATTGCGCTTTTTATAAATTTTGTATTCATTGATAGGACTGGCCATTGATTAATACCAGCTGGGATATTTATAAACATAACCTTGACCTGCCAGTTTTATTTGCTGTGACATTAGTACAATAACAGTTAGGAGCCTACATTAACCCTAGCAGTGGCCAATGTTAGAAGTGGGGAATGGCCAACCCATTTTGGCGATTTTGCAGACATTTTTTTGAAAATTCGTAAAAATTCAACCGTACAAGTAAACCTATTCAATATTCAACAATATTCATTTTGTTCGGAAAGAACAGGAGAATCTAGAAATAGTAATATCATAATGATTTAGACGGTGTATTTTATCGGTAAAGTGAAAAAAATAAAAAAATTTGAATGAATTTTTTTTTTTTTAATTTCAAAAGCGGCCTCGGTATTTTTTTTGACGGATTTTTTATGGGAAATTCATTATATTCATTTTGTAGACAATCTAATTCCCTACACAGAAATATATAACATGTCAGGAAAATATTTTTTTTTATAAGTTTTTGGAGCGAAATATAATGACAAACGGAGAACCGAAAAAATTGAAAACCGTACAGTGTTAGTTTTTGTTGTAAAAAGTTATATAATATATGTGTATACTAATAATTATATATACATGTTTGTAAAGCTAATGAAGTAAGGAATCAAAAAAAGTCATAAAGTTTATGGTAAAAATAATTTTTTACCTATAAACATACGTATATAAAATAATGTTTTTATATTTTAGCGATTTTGCGAGAAAAAAATTCACAGTATTTAGTATACAACTTTTGAACCAAATTTTTTTTACTTCAAACCAACATAATAATCTTGTAGTGCATTCAATTACCTACATAAAAATGTATAACATGTTAGAAATATTTTTTTTGTAGGTACGTAATAGGGACATAATAATACAATAACCGCAAAACCGCAAATAAGTGTAAACTATACAGTGTTTGTTTGTGTTGTAAAACATTATGTAGGCTGATGCTATGTACATATTTGTAAAGCTAATGAAGTAAGGAATCCAAAAAAGTCATTAGTATGATGGTAAAAAATTATTTTCACTTATGATTATGTATCAATTTCAGAACATTTTGAATTTTTTGTGCATTTCGAGAAAATGGAGTGTACAGTATTTAGTATATAACTTTTTTACCAAATTTTTTACACCCAAACCAATATAAACATGTTGTAGTGTATTCATTTACCTTTATAAAAATGTATAACACCTTGGGTAAATCATTATATAGCATATATAGCTTGTACAACAATCTCTGAATGTCAGAATCGTCATTTTAGGACATGATGCTAACAAAATATAACCTTTTATAAACACTATTTCACACAATTCAGTAATATTTATGCATAATAAAATGCATGAAGATTACTGTTATACACACACACAAACTTCACTAACACTAACACTACGAACTAATAACGTATTTAGTAATAAATTGCAGATAACACCAGAGCGAACACTCACGGCAACAACAAACAATGGCGAATACACAAGACAGCTGTAGCAGTAATGACTCACTTCCGTCGTCTTCGTAGGTGAGCAGACGTAAATAACCCTGAGCGCAGGGCTGCCACTCTCACAATCTATATTTCTTCCTCTTCAAAATGACATATTATATGACTAGTAATAATAACTTACAGTGTATGTAATTCTTTTTTTCCACATCGTCACCTGACGACCATTGGCCATTTGTAAAAAATTTCGAAAACAGCTGTTTTCATAAAATCGTACCGGTTGTGCAATCAATATTTCGTTCTAAATATTACTACCACAATGAAGATATAATCAATGGCTATCCAGTGGTACTACCCGCAACATCCCACGACGAAAATTATCCGAGCAGGGTAATGCCAAACAAGACGTGTTTTGCCAGTTCCCAAGTGTCGGCTGCAAAAGTCGTGCCTCGCCAAAAATTCATTTGATTTCTAATCGTCGTGACATTGTTATATACCTGCTACAGGGTTTGTTTATGTAATAAAATGAAAGTTCAGAATGTAATCTTTCGAATGGAATATATATTATTCTCATCTGAGTTGATTGTGTTTTTTTTACCGCTAAAAAAAATTTCGGCCCAGATCGTCACCAGACGACTTTGGCCATTCTAAGCATCAACATCAGATCGTCACCAGACGACGATCGGCCACTGCTAGGGTTAAAAGTAGCCTATTGTCTCTAGGATAACTAACTACAGTCCAACCTCAGTATAACGAATCTGAAGGGACCGAACTGAATATTCGTTATATCAAGGATTTCGTTAAAACGAGGTTCGTTATATAGAGGTTAGGTTTACAGGAATTTCGCTAAGTCGAGGTTCAGAACCAGCGTCGATCAATATAGGTCGGGATTTGACTTCATTAAAATACAGTACAATTAAAGTAGCATAGGCTACAATACTTTACAGTACAGTGTTTACATTGTACAGTAGAACCTAAATTATCCGGCATAATAAAGGAAGGGGATCTTGAATATTGCGCAATCATGACAATGGCATTGACCTTACAGGTTAAAAGCTGTAAGTTTAAAATCACAGCTTGTTCTAACCCTCCTAAAATCTAGCCAAACACTGTATTGCGTAGTCATAAACCATGTAAAGAACAAAACAAAACAGTAGAAAGTTTTGTAAGCTACTGCTCGCGATAGGCCGGTAGGCTACTTACAGTACAGTACGGTACTGATTTATCACAACAGAGGAATGTCAATAATAATCATTAACTATAGCATTGGTGTTGCTAGTTGAAACAAATCGTATTGAAAACAATAAATTATTAGATAAGTCATTATAAAAGTGTATAATCATAGCCAGCTTAAGGACAGTAAAAACACTCGTAAAAGGAATGTTAAAATAACTGGTTTTGTTTTTATTCTTTCTTAGGTTTCTCTCTATCCAAAAATTGTACAATTCACCATAGTTATCCCATATCGCCCAGTCACAGCTTACTAAACATTACGTCGTCATCAGTCCTCCCTCAGAGAATGAAATCAGTTCTCACTTCTCAGTTGCAAGTTATTGCAGCATAGCGCGCGCAGCGACAGCAGACAAAGATGTAAAACGGAGCAGACGAATGTTAGCGCAAGCGATGACGTGACCTTTCCATTTCATTTGATAAAGAAACAGATTTTCCCAAAACAATAATTGGGTGGGGGATTTGTTATATCGAGGGAAAGACGTAGACAATTTGTTATGTAGAGGTTAAATTCGCAATGTAGAGGTTCTGACAATGATAAATTCGTTATATTGAGGTGTCTTATTTTAGCCGAAATCACGAAAATTCGTTAAATCAAGGTCGTTGTTATGGTTTGTTCGTTATGTAGAGGTAAAATATACATTGTGTCTTATGGAGAGTTCTAGGGGATTAAAAAAAAATCGTTATATCAAGGAATTCGTTATATCGAGGTTCGTTATATCAAGGTTAGACTGTACCTACTAATTTTTTCATAACTTTTTTATTGATATACAAACAGCACACTATGCAAATAGAGAACATTAAAAAAATAAATCTTACCATCAATTTTATCAATGTGCACAAGGGAAAGTCCAATAGGACAAGGCCTGTGAGGGGAGCGAGTGCCAAAAACCCCGATACGAGCTCCATTCAATCTTGGAGGGGCAACTTTAGCTCGGATGTGATTAGACTCATTCTTGTGAAAATGGAATAAAATCCTGAAACAGGGTGCAAATTATAAAATAATCTAAATGATGTAGTTAAAAAATAATGCTTTTAAACTTTTAATAGCCTCCTTACCCTTCACATTTCCCCGACAAAACAACTCAGTGTCTCAACTGGTGCCTGAGGCCTATACATAAGCTCAGCACGCAAGCGCTCCGAGCTGGAGCACCTCCGCATGGAAAGAGTCAAAGGAACGCCTTGTCTCAAACAGTCCATGAGTCAGAAGTTAAAAATTCACAATGATGTTGTGTCTGCTCTGCCTAACCTTGGGGGATGGACTGTTTTGCCCGAACCCCCTTCCAAAACTGATTTAGCTTAAATGGCTCCTTGAGCCGGCCCTTTTTGGCTTTCGCTAAATTGCCCCACCCACTTGCAGGGACCTCGCAAGGTATTCCTCACACTCATGGGCTGTAAATCAATGTTCTTTTGGATTTTTAAAGTTTTGTAACTCAATGAATTTCCAAGTGTGACAGACTCTATGTTGATGGATATTTTATCAACAATTTGTTTGGGTCCTTTGAAGGATTGAGTCTTGTACTGTTTGAGACAAGTGGTGTCCTTTGACTCTTTCCATGCAGAGGAACTCGAATATTTTGTTCCAGCTTGAGTGATGGAGCACTTGGGTGCTGAGATAGTGCTCGAGATACTGAGTGGTTTTGTTAGGGAAATGCGAAGGGTGGCTAGAGTGCTGCGCTTGGGTTTCAGTGAGCATCCTTCTTCTTTTGCGGAACTGGACCGACTCGCCATTGCTTCCAGAGGGGTCCAGGACACTGATTCCCAAAGGAGAGATTTCATGGGGCAACATCCACGCAGCCCTCCAAGCCAGGTCATAGCTCCGGTGCAGCCAGGACTGGAAGTACAGAGGTTTCAGGCGCAACCCCCCTGCTTTTTTGGTTGTGGTCAGAGAGGTCATGTTAGGAGATTTTGCCACCAAAACCAGAGGGGTAATAATAATTCCTGACTAGCTGTTTCATGGGGAAATGTTAATGTTGGCCTGCACCGTGAAAATTCATTCAAAGAGAGTAACAGTGGGCCTAATGTTTTGGGTAAATTAATTTCTTGTAATAAGTCAAATGAGAAACAATGTAGGCCTAAGTAAAAGTTTTCTAAAGGGTGGGAGGTTGCACTAGCGTCTCAGGGTCCTGGTAAGAAACCAATGAGAACCTCTTTTGCGAAGGAGTGGGGGGCGTGATGTCACTCTCTTCTCTTGAGGGAATACCATTACCACAACAATACGAAGTGCAGCCATCGGTGATCATGGTGTAGAGGATAGAGTACTCGGCTGATGTCCATGAGGTAACCAGGTCAAATCCCACTGGTGACACTAACTTTTTGTCAAAGATTTTGCTTAGAATGTGATTGCTTCTTAACTGAGGGCCTACATCTTTTGTTACAATTTGAGGCATTTATAATTTTAATTGATATGTAAACCTTCATTCAATTTTTATCTTATATCTTTTTTATATTATCAGCAAATTTGGTTGGTTAGTTTAGGTTATGAGGGTTTCAATTTATAATAAAAAATTATAAAATAAATTTTGTAATTTTTATAGTTTCATATCTATGGGTAAGTCGGGAAACCTTTGTAGAAAAAACTAAAAAGCAAAGTCAACTTCTTAAGAATATTTGCAAAAATATGTTGATTGTTATACAGACCTCTTATGAACAGCGAAATATTTCCATGAGTTACACAAACTTTGAGTTGAGTGTTTTAAACTCATTAAAAATTAAGATGGTTATCAGTTTTGAAATAACTCCTGTAATACTTGACAATTGCTTGATTTCGAGCAACAGGAACACTAGTTGAACTTAAATATAAGTATATAGCCTAATTTCATTTACTTACGGGTTTTCTAAACTTACCACATGTGGGAAAACCCATCCAATCCTTCAAGAGAATGTTCAGGATTTGTAAAAACATGATTAAACAACGTAATTTTTCCTTGACTGCTTAGATTTACATTAGGCTGTCTTGGCACTGCTCGTTTTCTAATGAAACCAGTGCTAATGAATCCAATTGGTTGCAGTTTAATGGTTTCGTCATATGTGTCAACCAAAGCCTGGCAATCCATCTTGTTTTCACCGTTTTGGGAATGCAATTTACACGACGAACAACTCCAGTTGTCCAACGCCTCCTTGATATTGTTTAGGTCTTTAGAGTATGAATGCCTCAGGGTTTTTAGTTCTTTTCTGAAAATATAAACTAACTTTTAAAAGTTATATTTAAAAATGTGTTATAAACTAAGCCCTACCAAATTTTGGTAGGAATTATATTGAGGTTGCACTAATACTAAAGCTTGACCTCTAAAGATAGGGGCACTAGATAACCACCCTCCATTAACACACGGCCACCTTTAATTCCAGGCTGCGGCCTGGTAGAATTGGCAACGTTGCAAGTGGTACCGGTATTGTCTAGCGCCAGACGTCCCATAAGATAACATGGCAGACAGGTGACAGCAGCTCATTAATTTGCGTATTATAGTAGAATCCTGCTAACTCGGCACTCGATAACCTGGCAGTCTGGATACCTCGGTCATCAATTCGAATTGTGGATATTTATAGGGATGCACTGTGGATGCGATGCTCCCTGGTGTGGATTAACGTCCGCACGAGTGAGTACTACGACTATCCGCAGTACTATCCTGATAATTAGACCAATTCGTAAATTACAAGGAAAAAATGTGGTTCGGATTCCACTATAAACTGTAGGTCCCTTAGTTGCCATTAGCTGTATATGGGCTATTAATTAACAGCTGTGTCTAAGGAACATGTCGGCCTTAGTCACTAACAAGACTACAAGATCGCGCCACTCATCCTACACTCATCCTTCACTCATATTTGGGTTAAAATACGCACATAGTGGCGTCCCCATCTTAAATAATTGATAATTGATTGATCACCTGGCTCAGAAAATTAGTAATATTTTGAGTCCGAGTTAAACATGGAGGCAAGCCAGCTCAAGTAAAATCATTCACAACTCGTACCAAGGATTTTTTGGACTATAGATGATGCCTTAATATTTTCAGAGTGACTTATAATATAAAATACCCCCGCCGCAGCAAACCTGCCGACTAAGCGAATTTCCATTTGTCTGAATTGATTTTCAGTTAAATATATTTTATAACATTAGGTTTAACGAGTACCTAGGTTTGCTGCTACAAGGAAAATAATAAAGTGTGTTTTTGAGTAAAATATTGATAGCTTAGTACAAAATAAATAAATTTGCCAAGTTTGATCAAAATATATCCATAAACAAGCAAACTACAACATTTGACAATATTCTCCATAAGAATAACATGGGAATTTTAAATTTACAATTTTTTTAAGTTTCTCCGTTACTAATAATCGAACAAAAATACTTTTATATACTAAATTATTTGTTTTTTTAAGCTCTTTAAAAAAGTCTAAAGAGAAATCGGGAAATTTTGTGTTTTGAGGGTCAAAAGTGAGAAAAACCAATTTTTACCCCATAAAACCCCCCGTAAAGCCCCGTTCCCATGGTCCGATCGTGCTGGTTCGCGAACTCATTCAAGTTTATCCCGCTTTACACCTTTAAACCAAATTTAATCAAAATCGGACAAAAATTACTCAAGTTATCGCGTTCACGGACGTATATATATATATATATATATATATATATATATATATATATATATATATAAGTCTATATATATATACATATATAAAAATTTGAACGAATGGTGTTTTTGGCCTCTGGGGACATCAAAATGAAAAAGTAAATCGGTCCCGGGTCTAGGTCTTACCGTGCCACCTACGGTAATAGCTACTTCCCTATAGGGAAATTCGCTAATACCCCCGCCGCAGCAAACCTGCCGACTAAGCGAATTTCCATTTGTCTGAATTGATTTTCAGTTAAATATATTTTATAACATTAGGTTTAACGAGTACCTAGGTTTGCTGCTACAAGGAAAATAATAAAGTGTGTTTTTGAGTAAAATATTGATAGCTTAGTACAAAATAAATAAATTTGCCAAGTTTGATCAAAATATATCCATAAACAAGCAAACTACAACATTTGACAATATTCTCCATAAGAATAACATGGGAATTTTAAATTTACAATTTTTTTAAGTTTCTCCGTTACTAATAATCGAACAAAAATACTTTTATATACTAAATTATTTGTTTTTTTAAGCTCTTTAAAAAAGTCTAAAGAGAAATCGGGAAATTTTGTGTTTTGAGGGTCAAAAGTGAGAAAAACCAATTTTTACCCCATAAAACCCCCCGTAAAGCCCCGTTCCCATGGTCCGATCGTGCTGGTTCGCGAACTCATTCAAGTTTATCCCGCTTTACACCTTTAAACCAAATTTAATCAAAATCGGACAAAAATTACTCAAGTTATCGCGTTCACGGACGTATATATATATATATATATATATATATATATATATATATATATAAGTCTATATATATATACATATATAAAAATTTGAACGAATGGTGTTTTTGGCCTCTGGGGACATCAAAATGAAAAAGTAAATCGGTCCCGGGTCTAGGTCTTACCGTGCCACCTACGGTAATAGCTACTTCCCTATAGGGAAATTCGCTAAAAGGAGGTTAAAAAGCTTAAAAATTTTATTGTCCTTATTTTTAACCCAAGTTCCCAATAACCTGGCATTTCACAAACTCGGCACCCTTCCTGTCCACATTACGCCGAGTTTACGGGACTCTATACTGTATTCATTTAAATTTAAATTTATGAACATAAATTTATTTAAAGATTGAAAATAAAACATATACAACAGCATTTGAATTGAAAATCTATTTTTGTACCTACATTTAAAGTGGAGTCTATATTTTCAAAGCCCAGTAACCAAGCTTTCATACCTATATAAAAAAAAAAAAATGGACAATAAACTCTGTGCCTTAGCTCTGTCATTAGACTTAGGTACGCGACAGGGCGCACGCGGAGTAAACCTCCGCAAACTGACACCGCGTCACTGAATTGCAAATGACAACAAAATGAGGAGGAATTTGGGGATAATAATAGCTTAGGGGCATTCCCAGGATGAGGTGCGTTAAGTGTAGAGCCGGACACGACTGCCGACACCCATTATGCATATTTATATTAACAAAAACTACAAGTGCAGAGGAAAACTCCGCAAGCGCCCGCTCGACTGTTAAAACTATCAATGATTAATCAATATTCTCAACCAATATTTACTTAAGTTAGCATAGCCCAGTTAAGAAACTGTAAAGTACCCGATAAAACAAACAAAACATTATTAATTTAATGCTATTGTTTTTATTTTTTACATCATATGGTTAAATTACTTAAATTCCTTGCAATATTTAGGCTAGGCCTAAGTAAGTTATATTAAAACAGATAATTATTTAGGTCTATTAACATTTAATCCGATACATTAATATATCACAGGTTCGTTGCGGAGCTGTACCCAAGGAATTAAATATAGGCTAGGCTTACTAAAAAATTCACTTGGCTAAGCCTAGACCTAGATGACATTAAGTAAAAGTGAATGGGAGTTTTCTTACAAAAACACAAATAATATAAGCTAAGTTATTGTATATTACTTTTGGTTTTGACTATTGATACTTTAGTATCCAGTAGGTAGTCAATGATATTACCTTAAATTACTGATTTCGGTCCTCGCAACCGATAGTTGATTTTGAAGCGTTGACAACGACAACTGAGTAGGCCTTGGCCTATGGTCATTATCTTTTGATGCCATTGCCCTATTTTAACCTTTAATCGATTAGGCCTATAACCAAGTTAGAACAAATTTAACTCTTAATGTAAAGTTAAACACTTTATCCTCACTTTCATAGGTAACTATTTATTCTAAACAAACATGTTATGATTAGGGTTAATAGGATTACTATTAAATGAACAAAAACGACAACTTTGAAAGGAAACTTGAACTCGACATTTTCTTCCTTGCTTCTTGCTTCAAAGCAAAGCAGACAAAAATAAAAATATGACAACTGACAACATTGACAACCTGTACCTATTCCTATTGTGTTTATTCCCAGGCTGCAAACCTTACCTAGAGAAAAAGTCCAATACAACTATAATAGGTTTTAATATAATACGAGGTGTTAGCCCGTCCTAAAACCGTGTACAATTCAGATCAGCTAGTTTACACATATAAAGACAAAGTTTCTTGCAGTTTTAATGTGAAAAATCATCTTGTAAACAAATGTTGTGTGACCAAATATGTTTTTATTCCATCATAGTCCTATAGGCCTACGATATGCATTTTAAATCTGATAATTTTACAATAAAACAGCAATTCTGCAATTTTTACGATGTGAAAAGCGTTGAGGTGAGATTTGCAGCCGAGTCGCACAGACGCACACTGATTATAAGTAGCCTACAGTAGAGAGAGTGGTAATAGTCAACTGAGAAGTGTATAGACCTAGTCAACGATACCACCTTCCATAGCATACCTGCCTTTTCCATAATTATTATCATCACAATACAACTACTATACACAATTTCCAGTAGGTCTGAATAGAAACGACCTAAAATAAAACGATAATATCCAATGAAATTCACAGTACACATAATTTAACTTTGGTGTCTTAACATCAAAAGGAATCGTCACACCATCCTTTATATAAATTTCACTGCATTAATTGCTAAATAAATAAGGGTAAACAAAGAAAAGTAAAAACAATAACAGTTTGTTTTGAAACAGCGGTTAAATAAGTATAGACTTGAATATCCTAGTATTTTACTATGTATATTTAATTAATCTGTCATCCTCTTACAGAAGAATTGAACGTATCAATGATTAGCATTACACATAGTATAAATAAGTCAACCCTAAGTATGTCTTTACATTTTTATCCAAATGCTGAATTTGTGACACAAAAGCTGAATGTTTACAGCTGTTATGTTAAGCAAATTATTTTATGCCAAAAGCTAGTTTAGAATCTTAGCGTCGGCTGCTAGACTTAAAAAAAAAATTAAAACTCAATTTCTAAAAAACTGGGACCCTAAACTAAAATTATGGCTTCGACATTCCCTAGTTCTCAAAATTATCTTTCTTTCAACACAAAAATCATGAAAATCCGTCGACTGGTTGATTCAGAATCGTGAAATAAAAAAACCCTGTTTCGTTTTAATATTATAGATAACAGCTGTTTCAATTAAACAAGTTGGTTCTGTTCTGTGATGTTCAATAGCATTAAAGTTACTAGGATTACCAACAGAGTGCAGCACTATTATTTTTTTAAATTTATGACAACAGCTAATTTGCAACCAAAAGGTGAGTGAGCGCAGCGAACGAACTTCAACCCGGAGGCGAGTTAGCGTAGCGAACGAGCTAACCTGAAGGCAAGTGAGCGTAGCGAACGAGCTCCAACCGTAAAGGTGAGTGAGCGTAGCGAATGAACTTCAACCAGGACGTGTGAGCGCAGTGAACGAGCTCCAACCTAAAGGTGAGTGAGCGTAGCGAACGAACTTCAACCAGGACGTGATTGAGCCATGCGAACGAGCTCACATATGAAGTTAAACGGGGCAAAGCCCGCGGGTACAGCTAGTATATATATATATATATGTATATATATATATATATACACGTCCGTGAACGCGATAACTTTAGTAATTTTCGTCCGATTTTGATGAAATTTGGTTTAAAGGTGTAAGGCGGGATAAACTTGAATGAGTTCGCGAACCAGTAAGATCGGACCATGGGAACGGGGTTTTACGGGGGGTTTTATGGGGTAAGAATTGGTTTTTCTCATTTTTGACCCTCACAACACAAAATTTCCCAATTTCTCTCTAGACCCGTTTAAAGAGCTTAAAAAAACAAATAATTCTGTATATCAAAGTGTTTTTGTACAGTTATCGTTAACGGAGAAAATTAAAAAAAAAACTATAAATTAAAAATTCTCATGTTATTCTTATGGAGAATATTGTAAAATGTCGTAGTTTGCTTGTTTATGGATATATTTTGATAAAACTTTTGTAATTATTTATTTGTTTTGTACTAAACAATTAATATTTTACAAAAAATACACTTTATTAGTTTCCTTGTGGCAGCAAACCTAGGTACACATTAAACCTAATGTTAATTTATTAGGTTTAATTAAAAAATCAATTCACACAAATGGAAATTCGCTTAGTCAGCAGGTTTTCTGCGGCGGTGGTATTGTTATTGTTACAATACAAATGGAAATAGTATATTTCATTACTAGGACCGAAAGTGGCATTTTCCGTCGCGCGCTCAAGTTTTTGTGTGAGGCGAAGCCGAACACAGGGAACCCCAATTTCACGTGCGAGGCGAAGCCGAGTATGTGAGAGCTATTTTCACGTACGAGGCGAAGCCGAGGACGGGAATAATGGAGCAAGTGCCGGATAATAACTTTCGGTACGAGTTACGAACGTCAACACGTCTTTTAACGTCTTTTAATCACGTCGCAAAAATACACAAAACAGATTAGCAGACCTCAGTAATATTACAAATATTTTATTTCTCAATTAATTTGATTGAACAACAAAATAAAATAAAATCTTCTAAAAGGAAACTTACGTATGTTTCTCAATAAATTGTGTCTAAACATGAAAAGAAAAGAATAAAACAACTTGTAAGATTACATACAGCTGATTCAAATCATTAAATTAAACCGTAACAAAACACTAGCGCGCGTAGAGAATAAATGGATAACTAATTGAGAGCGAGGGAAGTAAATATAGAGCGAGGGAAAATCAGCTGATCGATTTTCCCTCGCCCTAAATTAGAGCTTGGGAAACGACTACTTTCATTTATGTCAGCTGTTATCTAAAATAGTTACTTTCGTTACGGAGTTATGAAATAGTATATTTCATTACTAGGGCCGAAAGTGGCATTTTCCGTCGCGCGCTCAAGTTTTTGTGTGAGGCGAAGCCGAACACAGGGAACTCCAATTTCACGTGCGAGGCGAAGCCGAGTATGTGGGAGCTATTTTCACGTACGAGGCGAAGCCGAGGACGGGAATAATGGAGCAAGTGCCGGATAATAACTTTCGGTACGAGTTATGAACGATACTTTTCATCACGACGCAAAAATACACAAACACAGATTAGCAGACCTCAGTAATATTACAACTATTTTATTTCTTAATTCATTCGATTGAACATCAAAATAAAATAAAATCTTCTTAAAGAAAACCTACATATATTTCTCAATAAATTTGGTTTAAACATGAAAATAAAAGAATAAAACATATTTTAACAATACATACAGCTGATTCAAATTATTAAATTAAACCATAACAAAACACTAGCGCGCGTAGAGAATAAATGGAGAACTAATTGAGAGCGAGGGAAAGTAAATTTAGAGCGAGGGAAAATCAGCTGATCGATTTTCCCTCGCTCTAAATTAGAGCTTGGGAAACGACTACTTTCATTGATGTCAGCTGTTATCGAAAATAGTTACTTTCGTTACGGAGTGATGAAAACATTGTTTTACCACGGTTGTATAATAAATCGTTATAGAAATCTTCGAATCAATTATTATTTATTCCTATGTTTGTTTATACGTCATCTTAATCAACCATTGGCTTCAATTAAAGATCGAATCCTGATACTCGAATCCCAAAATTAAAATTAAAAACCTGTTCGATTAGTTGATGTTACAAATAAATTAAGATAGGCCACAGATATGCTACTCAATAATAAAAAGTGTACTATTGAATTTTAAATATGAATGAAGATAATTGACCATTCTCACTAATTTTTATATCTGGCCAGGGGGTAAAATTCTTGGGGCCACTGGGGGTAAAATTCCGGGCCGTAAATTTTGAGCTGACCTCATGAAGGTGGTAAAATTCCGGCCCGTACACTCTAGGTTTTTGTAATTTGATGTGTTCTGATTAAATTCACAACCGTGAAAATAAACGTTTAATTCCTTGTTTAATCTATCGAACTGATGTCGCAAAACTCAAAAGTTCGCGGACGGAATTTTACCCCCTGGTTTGTGACGTCACGTTCGCCCAGGGGGTAAAATTCCAGGAGGATAAAAATCCGCTACCCCAGTATTTTCCCTTCCAACATGATCCAAAATTATAAATTAATGACGGCATGACGGCGATAAGGTATGAGCAACGCCTTTTATACCCTTCTTTACTGTTTCCGATGTTGGTATCTATTGTTTTGTTTTTGTTATTGGATGAACATCGTCTGCACTCTGCAGTGCAAGTGCAAGTCTTGCCTCTTAAAAAAAACCAAAAACAACTCTATTACAGTGATTAATTCATAATTAGTTTCGTGTTTTTGTTACTAAACTTAACCTTCTATTAATGCCATAATGACTATATAGTCTGGCTAAACCGGGAGTTACATTTTCTTTTATAAATTGCTTAGCCTATTCCAGTGATTTCTATGGTCTACAAGACTTTAATTCATATTTCTAAATCTGAGTAGGCCTAAGTTAGACCTTACAACTGCAACATATTGTTACCGTAGTATAGCTTAGTTAAAAAATTTTGAGTAGGAATAGGCTATTGATTATTTATTGTTTGAAAACCAACTGAACCACAAGAATCTCTTGTCAAGTGTTCTTGCAATGAGTGGCCGAAGTACTTTTACTAGTCTACCCTCTGCAGTTAACCTCAAAGAAGCAGATCACAATTTGAGCGAAAAGATGTTAGTTAAAGATGAAACATCACTGCCTAGCAATAGTATGTACGTGTGGAAGATGGAATTTAATGCAGAAACAATTACGACTGGCCTTTACATATTGGCAGCAGTAAGCTCTGTTATAATTGTTTATTTTGTTGCAAAAGCTATCAGGTCAGTTAGTTCTTCATTTATAGTGGCTACCTTATAACGGCTCCTCACATGCATCATTCGCCTAACACCGATCAGTGACTCACCGAATTAAGAGTTGTGGAGAAGGTTACCGTATTCCTCTATTTGTCAAGCAACAAACGTCAGTTCCACATTGTGTCGGTCT